CATACCTTTCTTTATCTGATATCTTAATGAGAATCCATTGTCAAATTGCCAGATGCAGGATTTTAGACCACTGGACTCAACTGGCCTTTTCCTAGCTGCTCACTCATTTGTCAACTCCTGTTCCATACAGTGACTTTGGTTTCACATGTTCCTTTGTTTAAAAATAGGCTAGCATAGCATGTACTAGCATAAAAGTTAAACATCTGCATTCAAGTTTACAGAGAGAATAAATACAGACAGGAACATGTGGATGTCAGTGGGAAGGTTTATTTCCCTGTCTCTTTTGGTTCACCTGCATGAAATCCAGAGATTTCTCTTTATCCTTAGTTTGAACTAATATGAGGACTTAACTGTGTGCCTTTCAAGTTCCAACATGCAAGTTTAAAGGTCCCCTGGAGCAAATCAATCCTGTCTGTGTGTCCGACTACATGTGTGTACCTGTTTGTTTGATTTGAGGATCACATGCTTTTTAAAAGTCACAAATAAAGGAACAAAGGAGTCCACACTGCAAAGTCAATAACATGCTCGGTATCATGAGCCCCAAACGGGACCTTTCTATGAGCAGCAGTAGTTCAAAGAAAGCAAACACAAAATATCACAAAACTATCCTTGATATGTTGTTAAAAAAGAAGAAAACATAGGTTTTAAGTCCAAAATGCAAACACTTTTTGCAGATTTACACAGATTTTTTACAATCATGTCTGAGTGGCACTTCCCCCTATTAGAGTATCCATGTGTTCCACTTTTCTGTGAGCTATTCAGTTGATTAGTGCCAGTTCCATTGCTTCTTAAGAAAACAAAAACAGCTATTTTGACAGACTAAAGTGGAGAGCCTTTACTTGTGTTGGATATTTAACTCCACTGGCAACAAATGTTATGCAAAATACTATGAAACTATTGATAATACAATAATCTGATTTATTCATTTTGATGAATTTTTTTTTAATCCTTTATGACTGATTCATGTTACACTGAAAGGTTAAAAACAGATGGATTGCAGTAAAGACTTTGTTGTGAGCGTAAAACTGAGCTGAAAAAAAAAAAATTTAGCCAGCAGGAAAAAACGCAAAGTACACCATGGCACACCCAGTGTCTGCTTTTATAGCCTTCCTGTATGTCACTCCCCCTCCCTCTGCTTCTCTATATCCTTTACTCCTCACCTTTCTCCCTTTGTACTCTATTATAGTATGTGACACTTGCTCCTTCTCACCTTGATGCACAGATTTGACCTGGATACTTAATGCTAGTGCAGTGCCTAAACTGTTCAAAGTGGTGCTGTTTAATTAGAAGAAATAACATCCACTGTGTTGCACTGATTGACAAGACACAAGTTTTACTTGTCTATTAGAAAACTCATCTGTTGTGTCATTTAAAAATATAACGACACCCTTGAATAAGCGGTTCAAAACTACTTTTTAAAATACTCAACTAACATCTCCAGGTTTATTATTAACAATCAGAACATGCAAACATTAAATCTGAATCAATGAATATTTGTATTAAGGAGTAGGTTTGTTTAGTTATTCTACATCTACGCTTAATCACACAAATTGTAACAAAGTGAAGCATATGTAATGATGATAAAAACATAGTATTCATTATCTCCTACCTGGCCAGTCTATCACGATCCAAATGAATGAAGCAGGTTCACTCCATGTTTGTGGTTTGATACCATTTATGAGTGTGTATGAGTGTGTGTTCATAGGTCCAGAGTACAGTGCATGAGGAAGGAGGTGAGCTTGTGAAGCACAATGCAGCAGCTGGTTAATTATTGTAGGACATGTTGAGACAGTGCAAGAAGGAGGGGCTGACTGACACTTGATATGACTCGGCTGCTTTGTGTGTGTATATGTGTGTATGACGAGAGAGAGAGAGAGAAAGTTCATTTTCGGTCAACATCCTAGTTTTGTTTTAAATTAAAGTTCCTAAGCTGATTGTTAGAACAATACATCTATTGAAATGTGTGTGTGTCTAGCAGGTCCTGAAAAAAAACAACCTTTGTTTTACTTTTGGCAACAAAATATTAAATCTTTCCTTAGTAACAATGGCTTTCTGAAACTGAGAGGTATCCAATAACAGCACTGATGCAACTGGTTCTATGCGATGACAACTGCCAGTTGATATGGGGAACTATATTTCAGGTCGGCTTCCTAAAGACAGACATCAAGTTACATGGTAATTGGCAGGGTAACCTACAGTTATTTTAGGCATGATGCTGATTATCATGTGAAAAAGTAATCATTTAATCATCTCTAACCAGTGCCAGTGTTTCAGACAATCTTAAAGATATGGTTAGGCAAATGGTTGTGTATAAAGAGGTCCCAGACTCCATTATGAAATAATAGCAGTATATAATACTGTTCACACACAATGCTGTGTTGATTGTCTTATTACAGGTTATTCTAAAAGGTGGTTAACTTTGTGTTAGTGTAATGTAAATCTTAGACAGAAACATTTAAATCATGGAGTACCTCAGGGAACAATCATTAGTCCTCTACTGCTTTGTACTGTTACCTTAATTTCAAACACAGTAAAAGCATCAATTCAGTTTTTATTTTAAAAATGGTTATCTCAGAAACTTTTCCAGATTAAATTAAATGAATCAATAGTTATTTCTACAGGTCAAATTATTGTTATGTTACAAATCAAGCACCACTGCATACTTACAGCACTGTCAGTCCTCACACCTTGGTTCAGGTGATGGCAGGAAACATCAGCTTGGAAAATAAGTAGATTCTTTGCACACAAGAGAGTTGATTTACTTATTTTATTAATGAAGGCTTCATATTAAGACTAACAACATTAATGCCTTCATCAGGTTTGCAATTTAAAAAAGGATTCATAGGTAGGCATAACATAAATGTTCATGTAACATGGCTAATTTTGATTGAATCTGACACAGTTGCCCGATTGAAAACAAGACTGAGGTTTGGACACACTTAGAAATAATCTCTAAAAACTAAATGTACACACAATCATTTCTAATTAGTATCTTTTCTTTTTGCTTTAAATATATTTTTTTCTGTAATTGTTGTGATTAAAATTCCAGTGTTCCAAACCATCAGGTACATTTAGTGTTTGCACAATTCTTGCTTAAGATAATTTTAAGAAACAAAAATGTTTCCATTAACATTTTTTTTTTTTCCTGTGTGTTTATGGGTTCATATCGTGGAACCTTTTGGGGTAACCATGTGTTTATTATCCCTTGAAATCAAGGGTTAATGTTAAAAAAAACATTAACTGTCTGGATACAAACAGTGCTTGGAATTTCCCTAAATTAAAGAATAAAAAGATTAACTGCGCACGTGCAAAGAAAATAATTCAAGCAGCAGCGTGGCGGAGCTATTTAGCAATCAGCTCCATACCAACAGTGTGATCAATGAATATAAAGCACTACAACGTCATCCAATAAGCTGTCAAATATTTATGATCATACATTATGTTTGCAAAACTTGTTATACACAGGAGTAAATGGATGATGTTTAAGGGAGAGCAGTAGCTCAGTCTGTAGGAACTTGTGTTTTGGAACTGGAGGGTTGCTGGTTCAAGCCCACGTAACAGACTAAGAATAGTAATTGGCATTGCTATTTGAGAGGTTAAACCTGAATTTCTTCTCGGGGTTGAATATTATAAAACATGTGCAGCGCAGTTCTTCTCCGTGTCAGCAGAGGGAGGCAGAGTATCAGTACAAAATATATCCAAATATATAGTGCTGAATCAGTGGTCACTTCAAGTACCTTTATATTGTAATGTTTTTCCTTTGATAAAAAAAACAGCAAACTCTTGGTTACCATAGAGGTTAAATTGCTCTCTACAACAGCACCATCTTGTGGTGTAAAATGTCATCAGCATACAGTATGTATGTTACAGGATTGCTTTCTGTAATGTACAACTGTTTGCGTGTTCTTTTTTTTAGTTGTGAGGATGATGAAGACAAAAAAAGAGGAATGGACATTAAAATAAAAAACTTGGGCAAGAAACCAACTCTTCTTTTGCATTTTTCACAAGACAGGACAAAACAACATCACAACACTTGTTTAATCTTTAAAGACATTTTATATTCCAACATATAGAATTTTAATTTATGCTGTTGTAAATACACACATAAAGTCAAACAAAGATCCATGACATGTTGTTATAGCAGCAGTTTTTTTTATACGATGAAGCATTTAACAACAATGTATGTATGCTTTACTATGCCTGCTAAACGGAGTACAATAGTTCCACTCAAAGCAGAATGGATAAGCCGTAAATGAAGTGAATGCCATTCCTTTCCTAAAATAAAACAGGACATACAGGCTGGCAGGCAACAGGTGGACAACACAAAGGCTACATCCTGGACTGTGTGTGTGTGTGTGTGTGTGTGTGTGTGTGTGTGTGTGTGTGTGTGTGTGTGAGAGAGAGAGAGAGAGAGAATGCAGATGCACAAACCTTTTATTGTTACTCTATGTACTTTTGTGAAGTATCTTTGAGATAACATGTGTTATTAATTGGTGCCATACAAATAAAGATTGATTGATTGATTGATTCTTGAAATGAAAAGTTGATATTTTACTGTTTTTTTATTAAAGTCTTGTAGGAGTTTAAATTGGGTCGGTCAGACCTGCCTCGCCTGTTGCCACTATAGGTCCTGACCTCAAATAAGTGGAAGAAAATGTATGGAGTTTGAATGACACCTGTTCTGTGATGGTAAAAACAGTGGACTTACGCTGTTGTTGATTACTAGAACTCTCCAGCAATGGAGCCTTTGGAGCTCAGAGCCCAGCTACAAAACCTGAGTGACTGTACACGAGGACAGCTAGCAGTTGTCACTGTCCATCTCTCTCTCTCGCTCTCGCTCTCTCTCTCTCTCTCTCTCTCTCTCTCTCTCTCTCTCTCTAACACACATGCACGCACGCACACGCACACACACACACACACACACACACACACACACACACACACACACACACACACACACACACACACACACACAGTGACAGAGCTGGTCCCTCTTGAGTACAGAGCTCATGGCTGTCCCTGGCTAAGACGCACGCAGACTCATAGTGTAAAAACAAACCAAGTGAACTACCAGCACCGTCTTCTTATCTGTCATGGGAATTTAATCACCAGTTAAGACCGTACTGGTTAATACGCTTTGTAAAGACAGTTCCTTAAGAGAGCCAGAATGAAGATTGTGGAAACTATTTCAGTCGTCAAAATCCTCTCTCTGCTGGCTCTGGTCACCTCAAGTTACGGGACACAAAGAGGTAGGTTAAAATATGTGTGTATTTGTGAGCTTTAAATATATTTTTAGCATTAGCTCAAACGGGTAAAAGTATTCTATCAACCACGTTGGATTTTTAAAATATTGTTTTTAGAGGAAGTTGACTTTTGTTATTCATTTAATAAAACTTATTGTGACAAAAAAAAGCACAAAAAAAAAGGAAAAGTTGAAAAGATCAATGTCTACATACAATTAAAAAGCTGTTAGCTGATCTTCCCTCCATGAATGTATACAGTATGTGGTTGTGAACAACACTCAAGGCTCAGAACAACACATTTAAAAAGAGTAAAGGAATATTGAGAAAGGCGCCTTCTCTATATCTTCATCTTGCATCTGTACTTTACCTTTAGTTAAAGAGTATGAAGGTTGAGTTTCCCCAAATACATATCGCTGAGATAATCTGTTTTCCAACACATCTTACAAGGAAAATGGAGAAGGTGTTTATAGGCCCACATAGTGTAAATGTGACTAAATCTATATCCTTCCTACACTTTGGCATATCCTCTCTGCAGAGTGTTGTAAAGATGTTTAGGAACCCACTGCTCCCTCTGCTGTTTCTTCTTCTAATGAGGCAACATCTTGATTTACAACACTGGATCAGAACCTGTTCTGTGTATGACCCAATATGATAATAAATCCTGCATCAAATGGACTGACTAGACATCATTTAAGTAGCTGTAAGAAACTCATTTTCCTTCTGTTCTTTCCATTTGAAAGTATTGGTCATAAAAAAAAGCCCTAGAAATAAAAATGACAAATGTAAATCTTTTAGGCTTTTGAAGGCTGCACAAAGTTCAGCCTTGACTTCAGAATTTCCTGACATATGAGTAGGGTACCAAAAGCTGTCACAGAGTCACAGGCCTGCAGGCCTGCACAGGCCAGAGTAGCTTCATGTTTTATAAATCCAGATGAACAGTGAATGCTGTCCGCAGATTGGAACAGAGAGGCAGCTGGTGTAGATGCTGGCACATTCTGCCAGGTTAGATATCATAGCCGGTGAAGTAGGTGGGGTCGGTGAAGGGCGAGTCTTGGCAGACGACCTGTGCCATGGGTTGTATGTCTGCGATTGGAAGGCTGAAATAGTGTTGATGGATTCTTCTTGTTGCTCCAAATCACTGTGGGCTTCTGTCAACAATAACCTGAATATACGAGTAGATAAATATGATTAACCTGTCAATCATGTGAATGGAATCCTACTCAAGGAATTCCACACTGTTTGAAAAGTAACAACATAATATGTTGCTTAAATAAATAAAACATTGCTATAGGAAGTTTCTAGACTTGGTCTGTGCTGTTTTAATGCTGTCTGGGACTACCACTTTTTTAATCAAACAAGCTGAAATTCTTCATTAAATTGTAAGTTCTTCATCCACATGATCCTCAGCTTCTGTTGGAACAAGACTGTGTTGTTTAAAAAAAGATGGTGAGTCTTTATAGGCTTAGTTAGCAATTATTATAACACGTAGTCCCAGCTGTCTCAATGTTCAGGTTTTGTGTTTCTGTAAATATAACTTTATACAAATAGTCAACAGGTCAGCAGGACTTTTTAACTTTGGACAGAAGAATCCTTACTTTATTTCCTGCACTCCTTATTCCCACTGTGCTGTACAAGCTTTTAAAAAAACATTGGCTGAGCCTGATGTAATTAGTACAATAAGGCGGAAAAGCTGTGTGTGTTTTAAATGTCTTTTAACAAATAAGATCTTCTGCAGGTACGTAGCTCAGAATGCTACAGTTTTGCCCTTAAAATAAGTTGCAGATGACTTTGCAACTGCACATGAGATGCCATTCCTGGTCTTATACTACTTTAATATATGTTTATAAAACAACACAACATACTTCTTTGTAAAAAACAAAAACATATAATATAATGAAAGAAAACACAAGACCTGCATTATTGCAAGTCCACATATTCTTCCAAACTGAACATTGCCAGCATGTACTTTGCGACCGAAGATTATTGTTGTTTCACATAGTCACACGGATTCTGAAAGTTATGTCATGCAGATATTGGAAGGGAAGGATTACTTCTTCTTAAATAGGTGGCTGATGGGAGGCTGATGTGTAAATAGTAAATGGACTTGAGCTTGTATTGCGCTTTTCTAGTTATCTGACTACTACAAGCGCTTTTACACCACAGGTCACACCTACCCATTCATACCACATTCACATGATGGCAGAGGCTGCTATGTAAAGTGTCCATCAGTATTAATTAATATTCAAACACAACTAAACTGACATTCACATCTGCTGACGCAGCAGCAGATGGGGTTCAATGTCTTGCCTAAGGACATGTGGCTACAGGAGCTGGAGAACCCCTGACCCTCCAGTTTAGAGATGCCTGACTTACTGCTAAGCATAGCTGCCATATTGCCATCAGCACTCGGAGTCCAAAGTTAGCCTTCTAGTGCAGATACAATAGGTAGGCTAGGCTAAGCAGGTCCAAGCTAACTGCTCATTTCCACACAGTGAGTGCGTGCTGTGTTCCATCAGTGGCACAGTCTCTCTCCGTCAGACGGCATGCGCCCTGCCCCACTAGGGCTTACACACATAGCTTCACACATGAACATGTCTCTGAAACTGTATTTATCTTTCAACACACTTTATGGAAGTGAATTTCTTTCAAGTTGAATGATGTCTTAAACACTATATGCCAGAAGTTATTTTGGTTAAGGAACTAACTAGAATTTCACTAGCAAGGACCACACCACAACAATATGCTTTTTAGATATTTAATGATAGATCAAATGAATGATAAGACAGATGAATATAGGTTAAGATGATGATTGTGATGGAAGAGGATGTTGTCAGTTGGCTGGTCTGGAAGAATGGACTGACTGTAGGGCAGAGACTCAGGATGGGGGTACCGTCTCAAGGGTAATTCTGCCTGAGCTGATCACGGCCCAGACTGTTTAGACAAACACGATGAAGGGATGAGGAAGGTGGGCAAATGGATGAGAGAAAGGGGAGGAAGGGTGGGTCGAATAACAAAGACAAACAGGGTGGAGAAGGATGGCTCAGTATACTGTATGTAGGCCTGTCAGGTGATTGAAGGTGTGTGGTTAAGGAGTGGTCCTCCTCCCAAACCTAAGTAAATATATTACCTTCATTAAATGAGTCATCCAAACTTGAGCCAAGCTTGGCTTGAATGCTGAGTTAAAAAAACGACTTGATGAAGCTTTGAAGTTTTACACAGCTGTTCATCTGTGTCTTGCAGATTTGAATGTGGTGAAAAAAAGAAAAAAAAGCATTAAAGATGACATTTTTAGGGAACAAATGAGTAAATTGAATTGAATTAACTGATCAGAGAGAGCATAAACCAACTAAATTACTACTACTTTGATATACTTTATTGTTATTATTTAACCATGTAGAGTCAGTATTCTCTGTATTTTAATTATATTTTTCATTATTCCCCATGTTAATGCTTAACAAAGCTTTAAGACTGTCTTATATGCATCTAAAAGGAGAATAACTTGTCTTGTAGTGTTGCTTGTTTAAACTAATAGATGGTTCCCATATGGACATCTGATACCATAGAACAAAACCATGTTGTGTTTGTTCTGGTTCCTTGACCAGAATGGATCCATCAAGTAAAAAACAGAAAAACGAAAAGAAAAACAACAACAACTTGTATCTGGTCTGCATGATAGAGACAGAGTGTGCTGTTAACAATTTAACTTTAAAGAATGGAAAAAACCTAGAGGACACACTACAAATCAAATCAGCCACCAAAAGAACCAGGATGTAAACAGTTACAGGCTCTAATGAAGGCCACTATAATGGGAGAGACATATAAAAGTAAGAAATAAATAGAGACATAAGCAGTATGAAGGCAGGAAGATTTTAAAATGCAGAAAATATCTTGTTGAAGTGTATGTGCATGCACAAGGACATGTTTCTTGATTGACAAGTGCAGCAAAACTGCAGATGACATCTGCATCCTGCAGCCTGCACACCATCATTTTTTTTATGTTATGGAGTGGACACAGTGTAAGTAAACATATGAATGCATGTGGCAACATGAGTGATTTGGTTAAAATGTTGTAATACACACAGTAGATACCAGACATGTTTGACCTTCCCCTCCTGACAGACCTTAACAACACTATGTTGCCTCTGCTTTCCAAACAGAATTTCATAACAAGAATCTTTCACAAGGAAAAATCTAGGCTGAGGCTTGTTTTGTCCCAGAAGAGTTCAATTTGATTTGAAATGAGCCTAAACTTCTATTTTGACAGAAATAATTTCAACTACAGCAAGAGTGAAAAACATGTTCTGCAAACTCCTTTCAAAGTGAATTTGATTTTCAAAAGATTTATTAACTTTAAGTTCACACATCTGTCAGCCATTGTGGTAACAACAATAGAGAAATGTGTTCCATTCATTATTAAGAAATGAAGTTACATTTTCTATGTAGATATTGAAGTGTTCTGCACAAACAATGTTTAATGACACAACTAAGAGTCAATATCTAGGTAAGCATCTCTATTAGTCTCATGCACGGGTAGCTTTGAGCAAATATCTAATGCTCAAAATGCCATCGCTGACATGCTCGTAATAACCAGATATAATGTTTTTGCCGTACAGTTTAGCATGTTGGCATGCTAATTGTATTACAATTACTGAAGAAATGGCAGATGAATCTGATAGCATCCTTACTGCATTTGGCTAAAGAAAATGATTACGTTCTTACCTGATGAGCCCACCAGATGAAGCATCAAAAGGTCACCAAATTAATTATTGTTACGGAGAGGCACATAAAAAAGTTCCTTGTAATGAATTGTCTTAGGACCATAGATCTAAAACTGCTAAAACTGTCCACTTACTGGTGGCTTAACAATTAGGGGATAACTGACCTAGGGTGGTTGTGGATCAGAATCAGTCGTCTCTCAATCGGAAAGTTGAGGGTTCGATTTCCTGCTCCTGCAGGACAGTCCAATGTGTCCTTGGGCAAGACTTTGAACCCCAAATTGGTCCCACTGCTTCATGGACAGAGAATTAATGTGTATGAATACTTCTGATGCTCACTATAGCATCCTCTGCCATCAGTGTGTGAATGGGAGTGAATGGGTAGGCGTGACATGTGATGTAAAAGTGCCTACCATGTTTGTACAGAACTTAATTTCAGACATTTAAGATCTAAAAAAATTTAAATAATGTGTTGAACCAATGTTGTCAACCATTAAGCCACAGTGCCAACATGGCTAGAAATAACATTTTGGACTGCATGCATGAAATGTCTAAATAAAGAACACTAGATATCTATCTATTTCACCTTGCTTTAACCTTGGCTAAATTTGTTTCAAACCAAGGATTAACCTCATTTCAGGCTTTCATCTTGATTTACAGGAGCACTATTTCCATTTCCCCATCATAAGCCAAACAGCAGGAGCACCAAGGGTTTGGAGGTGGAGATGTTAGATGGTTTGCACAGATATGTTACTGTGAAATCTTCTTTCACAAGAGACATTCACATTCTTCTCCATTCTTTTTCACCAGCTCTGTTCTTTCCCTTTCTTCACCCCCCTGTTTTTTATTTTGCCTCTTCCTCCCCCTTAGTTCAAAGAAAGTTGAAAGTAAAGCTGATGTCTGTGATCTGGTTCCACATAAAAACAGTTGCTGCCTCACCCCTGGTTTATTCTGTTTGCATTCCCGTACAACATGTCTTTGATTTAAACGTTTTCCTTCCCTTGATATACTACCCAGAGTATAAAAAAGGCTTTTTTTCACTGAGTTGCTACCCTCTACGTTTGTCTTCTGTCTAAAAATAATCCCTCTACTCCTTTTTTGTACATCTTTTTCACGACTGAAGTGGATGGTATATTTAGAATAGATATTGATCACACCTTTACATTGGCTTATTTTGGTTTATATCATAAGATATAGGTCAGATGGTTCGTATTACTTCTATACTCTATGTACACAGAACTAGTTATTTACCCACTTTCATTTTAACAGAGACCATCTGTTGAAATAAGATCAGAGCAATGTTTGCACAAAGGATGGAACCTGTCTTTGAGCCTTAAATTCAAATATTGTTGCGTCAACATTTGCTTCAATAAAAAAAGTATGTCAAACAGTAAAACTTCAGAGTTCACCGATGTATTATATTCCTTTCTGACCTCTCTTTTCCCTGTAATATGTTTATTCTTGATCTCTTTATACCTATCTCATTCATTCTCAAATGCTTCAGATCATTTTCTTCTCCTTCTTTCTCTCAGAGTTACACCTTTATCGACTCATGTCAAAGTCGTAACAAACTTTAAAACCTCTGATGTGGCTCTATTCATCAGCAGCTATAGCAGGACTCTGAGTGACTAAACGATTCAGTCTAAGTCAGGAATGTTAAGAATGCCAAGAATGATAAATAATTTCACTGAAGATGTTTGCACTTCCGAGAGCAGGACTGTAATGTAAACATGCGCAATTTGAAACTCTTTCACCAATCATACAAAAACGTGTCTTACACATTGCATTTAAATCCCAGTTCATTCATCATAATTTTTTTTTAAGAAGGAGTTGAGCCTCTGGCTGATACATTAAATACTATAGCCTGCTTCACACACTGAGTTAAACCGGCACCCCATGTCTACAGAAAATCTGAAATTCCACTATGAATATTCAGCCATAGGATAACTTAATAAAGGCTCTTGTGTTTTAAACAATATTCATTAATTTTTCTTTCTTTGATTAACACACAGCACCTCGGATCATCACCTTGTTAGAGACAATGGATGTTCTTCTGGATCACAATGCCACCTTCATCTGTGAGGTAGAGTCCCGTCCTCCTGCTGAAATCACTTGGACAAAAAATAATCACCAGATAATGTAAGTTTACACTCAAAGCATTCAACCACTGACCCAACCATCCTTTTAGGCACAGTATTTCCAATCAACCCCTCAAAATGCTTTGCTCCACTTTTTTTCCTCTCGATGAACAGGGAGTTTCTTAGTCCCATGGCCGTGATGGGGATCAAGGCTAACAGCTATGAGAACATTCAGTGTTAACTTCTAAGCATATGATGTGTAACAAACTGTTGGATAACTGACAACAGATAGATTATGTTAGTGGTTATATGACTAAAAGTTGGTTGCAGTAGCTGTGAGCTGCATAGGAGATTTAATACTTACTGTTAGCTTAAAATGTAGGATCACAAGGACAGTGGAACCAGCTTCTTGTTTTATTCTTATGCCATAAAACTGCTAGCTTTAAAGACAATTTAAAAAATACAAGTTATATTATTTTAGATATTATTGACTAAACCAAGCAAAAAAGAGAAACAGATTCAAGGGGAGATTTATAGGAGAGTAGAACTCTACAGTTGTTATATCTTGTGTTAATTTCAAAGTAAATGATTGAAAAATACCTCTGGTTCTTCAGGCTTATGATAAGACTTCTCTGCCCCTCATTTTTGTCTGCCAGGTACTACGACCCCCGGTACACTACCAGAGAACAGGGACAGATGCTAATCATCCCTCGTGTTAGAGAATTAGACAACGGAGAATATTGTTGCATCGCCAGTAATGGCATTGGAGAACCAGCCAAGAGCTGTGGAGCGCTGCAGCTGAAGATGAGTATGTTTGTCTTGGGGTTAGAATCTGTGCAAACTTACTGAGTAACAAATGCATTACATAGAACAACACTTTAACAGCAGCACTCATACAGAAGGCCATATTGTCTTTTCTCTCCTTCAGAGCCACAGATTAAACGCCATCCTACCAATGTAACCCTTCTGGTAGACTCCAAAGCAGTGTTGCCCTGTGTCACCCTTGGTAACCCCAAACCTGATGTGACCTGGCTCAAAGATGATGAACTTATCAAGGTATTTCTGTCTTTGAACACAGGAAGTTATTTGAACTTTTCAGGCTACAGAAGACATTTAAGAGCTTTGGCCTAAGTAAGATTGTCACTGCATGGCTTTAAGAATAGTAAAGCATTAGAATCTGAATCTGACCATGGTGCAAAGGTATCCAGTCTTTACACTAATACATATTTTCTGGTTTGGTTTTACATGTATGTAAAGACGTCAAGAAACAAAGAAAAAAGAAAACTGAAAACAAAGTTTATTTTCTTTCCCAGATTAGTGACCGTGTTACCATTCTTGACTATGGCGCACTGAAGATCCATAACATACAGAAGGAGGATGCTGGGCAGTATCGCTGTGTGGCCAGGAATAGCTTCGGTTTGGCCTTTTCAAAGCCTGTGACCATAGAGGTACAGGGTATGTATGTAAATATGGTTTCACTTTTGGCTTAGCATGTAAAATGTATTTCTTTGAAAGCTGCAATTCAATACTGCAGGATACAATTGTTTGATTCCCATTCAGGTATGGGAATTTAGTGTCTATACTGAGTTTCTATATGTTGTGTTTTATGCTCAGCCCCAGCACGAATCCTGCGTGTTCCAAAGGAGAAGAGGGTTGCATATGGCAGCCAGATTTCCCTTGAGTGTAATGCCACAGGAAATCCAATCCCCACCATCACCTGGCTGGAAAATGGGAATACTGTGAGTGTTCAGGTTCACTGTCTGGCTATCATGGGATTCTAAATGGCAGTTTTCTGTTGCAGATGTTTTTCCTCAAATTGATTGTGTCACTAGACATAAATCCCAATCAGGGTCAATAAGCGTCTAAATGGCAAAAAAAAGCAATATTAAAGTCCTCCACCGGATTTTGATGATCAATTCCGAAGTTTATGATCCATCCAAACTTCCATTTATCCACGCCATGCCTGTCTCTGGATGCTTGTGATCCTACCGATTGTCTCGTTCACAATGGTTGGGAGTCTCAAACATCAATGAACACTGCATGCACCAGACACATTTTTATCAAGTAGCTAACATTTTGACACATTGTCAGCTGCAAAGCATTACATATTGGGAAAGCTGTGACAATAATAGATTAGAAAGCCAACATGCAATGCAGCCTGATGAAATATTTACAAGTTTCCTCCATAAACTTATGCTTTAATGAAGAAAATTTGACAAGCTAATATAATTAGAAGAATAAATCCAATACCTAACGTGAAGATACAGAGATGTTCTATACATTTGGAAGAAAATCCATGACTTGCTCTTCACCAGTTATCCAGTGAATCTCTTGTTTATAATTACAATCAATCAATCTTTACTTATAATGTCAATTCTTGTTAATTGTTTAGCACCAATACACCAAGTCAAATTCCTTGTATGTGTAAATGTACTTGTCAATAAACCCTGATTCTGATTCTGATTCTGAAATCATAAATAAGTGTTATCTTTAGACACTTTATTAAAATAGCAGGTCAAGGAGTTACGCTTTATTTTATTATTTACAAAGACCCAACACGTATCCACTATGGGAAAATCATTTAGCAATATTTAGCAAGCAACAGTGGCAAGGAAAATCTTTTTCACAGGCCGAAACCCTGAGCAGAACTAGAGTCATGCTGAACAGCCTTCTGCTGTAACTGTTGTAAATGTAGTACTGTGCCTTTAATTTTGGGCTGCAGAGGCCACTTGTTTGTTTGAGAGCTCTCACTATGACACAACAAGTTTGTTATTGGTATATTACCTATCTGTTGTCCATAAGGCTTAATCATAAAAACATTTAAGATCCAAACACTGAAGTAAGTTACTTCACAGGAATGCTGTCATGTGCTTGATAGGTAATATCAGGTCACTAGAAACACATATCTACACACACATACAGTTGTATTCTTTAGTACAAAAGCAGATATCCAGTCGTCCCTTGCTCTGTCGTTATTCATGTATGAGTGTCACCTCATCACCCAAACACACACACAGGCGCAGACAGTTGATGTACTCTGGAGATGGGCTGTGGGATCAGTGATATAAACAGCAAAGGAATTCTCATTATGATGACAGAGGATTGAAGAGATTGCCTCTCAGTTAGCTGTTGATTCACAGTTTGATCAGCTTTAATTGGGAGTGAGCACAAAGGTTTAAGCAGTGTTGAATGGTTTTTTGTTAGGTGTTGACTTGTGTTCCAAGGAATCTGGCAAGATGTTAAGGCAGCCTGTAAGATGATTTCATTATATAAATGAAAGCTTATATCTATATCATCTAAAGTTTATAAACAGGATGGGTATGTGAGGATAATGAAATGAAAGGTTATTAAAGACATTAAGATAGATATTAATATCTAAAAATATTTAATCAAATGTAAAAGTCACTTTTGTTTTATTAATCTCTTTATTCAACTTCACCTCTGCAAGCTTGTATACATTTTTTATTATGCTGGAAAATGCACCAAAAACTTCAAAATAACTGGTAGCTGTTGGAAAATATCATAAATTCCTTTTTTTTTTAAATGAATACAGGAGTAAAATGCCTACCAACTTAGACAAGTTAAACATGTTTTCTTTCAAGCAGGAAACAGACATTTGTATACATGCAATGCAGCAAGTTATATAACACTTAATGTCTGGCAATTTACTGGTTTTGGGTGCTAGCTACAACGTGATTACAGGCCCATGATGCTTGTAAATAATATGTGTGCCTGTGTGCCTGTGTGTGTGTGCGTGTGTGTGTGTGCGTGCTGATTAAAATGACCTCAACAAGCTGCTTTCTGGCAGCTTGTTGAGGTCATTAATTTCAGCATGGCTGGAACAAGCTCAACCTAAAAACAGGCACTGTCTCACACAACTTCAAATATAGACTCATTGCATTTCAGCACCCTGACTCACACACAGACTGCAGACTGTCACACAAGTGATTTATATATATATTTATCTAAGCGTGAATACAGGAACTGAAAACAACACCCACATTTTATCGGGCAACATCTGTTGGTGTGAATACCAGAGAATTTTTAAATCTTTGAAATGATTACAAGTGGTAAGATTACTGCCACACTTTTAAACACTCACTTGTATCAAGTTAACACCCATGACACTATTACATGATCTATAAGCCCACATTCAGTTCTGTTACATCTTTAAAAAGTGGTAATAAGGATGTGAAACGAAAATTCTCCAGTTCAGTATTGATTCTAATGTTCTTACTGAAAGTGCTTTCTAACAACATAACTGCACTTTAACATTAAGGTCTGTATTTAAAGAAAGAAACATCATCTAAACTAAATTCAATCTCTTCACAAACATTTTTCTTGTTTTGTTGACCTTTCAATTTCACAGTGCTGCCCTCCTCTGGTGGATGTTGGCTTTAATAGACAGACTCTTACGTGTTCCAGTGGATATGGCAAAATAAAAACACAGCCTTTTAATACTGAGTCATAAATACTATATCTCTAGATACAAGACAATAATCATTTCTGACCTGTAAGCTTGAGATTTTTGACAATATTCCCACCTGGTCATTTTCAAAAATGGTGTGCAAACTGACAGTCACAGGCTTTACAATGAGCTTGAAAAGTCTTCTTTCAGACATGTTGACATAAGTGGGTCGAGGTTTGAAAGGATGTGAATAGTTTGTCTTAGCTGAAAATAAGCATTTTTTGTCTTGTGTTAAAGGGATACTTCACCCGTTGAAACATGAATCTGTATTGACATTGGGGCATATATGTAGTAGAAATGTGAAATACATTTTGAAGTTGGTGCCTTCTTGGCCGTGAAAAGGCAGAATCAGAAATACTTTATTAATCCCAGAGGGAAATTTGATCGATACAGTTTCTCCAAAATATACAAAAATATGTAGAAATATAGTAATAAAAACATTTACAGACATATTTACTTAAACACATAAGGACATTTCCTCAACTGATTCAGAGATTTCTTCCAGAATTGATCTTGGAAATTCCTGGCAGAAAACAGACTCTATGTCTGTGTCCATAGGCAAACAGTGAGAGCACCAACACTACCAGTCCGCCCCAGCTCGAGCCAGCCCAGGCTCCTCGTCCTCACCGCCGCCGACAGGCAGGCCTTATGTCTTGGCTGCTGAGCTGGCAGCGGCCGGCGGCGGCAATATAGCAATATAGCCACGAGACAGTTGCTCCCGGCAGCCAGCGACTGGCGGCCGCAGCAGCCAATACACAAGACCTTTGTTACCTATATAAAACAATGTATCTATTTTCAAATGTCCTTTCATAAAGACACATTACTAACCATTTTTAATTTCTCTTGATGTTTTTTTTTTTTTTTGCAGATCTCAGGTGCATCAGTGGAAGAGACTCTTTCAGGAGAGATAATCCTGTCCGTTCTTAAAGTGACAGTGAACAAGCCGGCGCTGTATACTTGCCTTGCCTCCAACAGACATAGTGCTGGAGCTAACACCGTCAAAGCAACTGCAAGAGTCACTGTGGCAGGTAGAAATACACCTTCATCCCTATCCCTCACACTGCAATACCTCACAATGGAATTATCAATGTCTTTAACCAACAGTCATATTTACTGTTAGCTCTCACATGAGGGTGTGTGTCTTGCCTTTTTTAACTGAGGTGGCCCACCCGGGGTACACACACGTCAATTAATTTAATATCTTTAACCTTTCTACCCACTACTGATATGTACTTGTAAGTAACACAATTTAACAACATATAATAAAGAAAGATGTATGTTCAAAGTCACAATTTTAAGTAGGCCTACTTAGAAAATTGCAAACTTGTGCACACTGTCTAACTTACTCTAAATTTACTCCATCCCAAGTTAGACAGTGTGCACAATGTTTTATGTGTTAATTTTCATTGGAAAACAAAGTATTTATTCATTTATGCATACAGCCAATCTTAGATTTGGATTTTGGGTTGGCACCTGGGTGGGGCCCATGCCACCCCTTTGGCCACGCCCCTGCTCACATCTGTATGTGGGGGTTAATAGTAATTTGTCTGTTGCTACTCAAATTGATACACTAGTTGTGTTTTTTGTGTCTTCAGCTGTTTGTAGTCCCCCCCATTTGGTTGATAGCTCAACCACACTGTTCCACAGACACAAGACCACAGTCACTTATAAAAACACACCCAGCCCCTGCCCCCTGACCACACACACACACTGTTCCTCCACCTGGCTGTCCCTCAGTTTCATTACAGATATTTGTCACCAAAAGAGGCATCATGGTTGGTTCTCTCTTCCTTGTAAGACTGATTTGTCTACTGTGTCCTCTTTTCTCCCCTTTTCTCCTGCTTGTGTTCCTTCAACCAACATCTGCTGGATATTGCCACTTCCCCATAGAGTGGAGGTAAGAAAACTGTCTATGTCTTAGTTTAGATGCAATTTCCTTCATTCTTTGTTTGCACTGTTTAAAGAAACTGAGGGCTGTTGTTCCTTTGGGTCTGTTAAAGATAACAATACTTTTAAGCTCTGTCAGTAAACCCACAACGTCAAGAGAGAGCCGTATCTTAGTCACCCATATGGTGAGAGTTGGAGTCAAATTTTCCTGAACCACAACACAAAACCCACTCACCACATCTGGACTATGTAACTAGAATAAAAAAAGATATATAGAGGGAAATAAAGCGAAGGAAACAGATAAAAAAGTGGAAATGTTAGCCTTTAGAGAACTAATGAGAACTTCTGAGGTAGAAAGAGGAAGAGACAGAAGGAGACAGTGGATGGCAGGTAAGAGACCAACAAAAGGGTCATGCATAATGGTTAGATCTTAGATGATACGCCAACTCATGACCACATCTGGACTATATATTTTATAGGATGTAGAAGCAGAGAGTTATGGAGAAAGGTAAAAAGAAGAAGGTCATGGTTGGATGATGTGGTTGATAGATGTACAGGTCAGCTTAAGTTTGATGGTTTGATTTGAACTCTGCTGAAGCACCAACCTCCCCATGAGGCAACACATGGAGTTTGAAAAATTCTGTAGTATAGTGGAAGCTGTCAGGCAGACAGGCAAGCAGAAGGCTGTGGATTTAAAGCATCACAAAGAGGTCATATCTGTGCTGGCAGATGAACTGACATAAAAAGGCAGACAGAGTGGGAACTACCAGGAGTATCTTTGTGATCAAAGTAGAGGCATTTAAAAAGTCCCAGGCAGACAGACAAGATTTCTATGAACCTCTAAGACTTCTTTCAAGACCAACATCTAGATGACTTTTTAAGTAAATAGTATGTATGATGTATGCTCACATACCTCAACAAGAGTTCATTAACTGTCAGCCAACTTAGCAAAAGATTGATTGCTCTAGGGACACTTAGTTAGCATTTGTATTTGTATTTTTTTCACAGTTTATCTTTTCTTAGGAGCAAATACATAGTCAAAGAAAATACTAATCCGGTCCAGGCAGTAATAAAACAGACCCAGGGCAGTGCCAAGCCTGGCTCTGGCTTTCCTGTGTGTTGAAGGAAAGTGACTGTAAATGTCCATTTCTCATACACTCTGCCCTTTCTCATTCTCTTGAGTAACTACATGTATATGGATGGATACCTGCTTAGAGAGTTGACTGGCAGTTTATGTCTAAATGTTCCTCTTCAAAGTTAAAAATCAACATAAGTGATAGATCATTATTAGACAAGACATTTCCCAATTCTTATTCCATATTCTGAGATTATGAAATGCAAATATGGTCCTGGAAAGTGTGGCCAGAGAAGGTTGTAGCAGAAAGCAATGCTAAATGATTTATAAATGTGATAATGATGTATCTCTCAAAAGGGGTCAAGAAGTGTTACACCTGTAAAATGTATATTGTGAAAAATATACGGACAGTCAAAACAGATTCCAGTAAAGACACTTCACAACTTTTGGTCCGGTCCAAATGTTCTATCATCGCCTGATAGACATTATAGGCCTCTGGAAAATTTCTCAGTAATTCAGTCAAAGCCAGCAGTTAGTTAAAACAACTTCCTGGCAAGACGTCCTTTTCCATGTGACGTTTAGGTCTGCATTGTAAACTAAGTCATTTCTTGGTCTGTGATATCCCAGAGTAGTGCCCGTTCATCTGTTAAGTTTCAGTTCAACAGCAGACTTCTAGTTATACAGCGGCTTCACTCTGGCCTACTTCAGTGGTATAAGCCATAAAATGAAACCAACTTTCATTTGATTTACTTGCAATTAACGTTTCTTAAGTTTGCCGAAATAACAACATAAACATGCAGATTTGTAAAAAGTGAACAGTCAAGCTTTGTTTAAGAGTTGTTAAAGAGACTATTTTAAGAGTAGAAGAAAACAACTTTCAAAAGGTTTGTTAGTTGAACAGAGGTCGGATCGATCACTTCTGATGGATTTCAGATAGAGAACCTAAGTGTTGATTGGCATTCATAACATAGCATCAAGCTGATTTGTTACTAAAGTTGTGAATGTTTGATCTATATGTGATTATTAGTTGTACATTTATGCATTTATATGTTTATAGAGACAAAAAGGCTAAATCATTGTTAGAACACCGTTGATGGGAGCTGGTATGTCAATACCCAGATAAGGTTCCGCCTGTTTTTTGCTGTCCATACAGACTGTTTTTCCTGCATACACCAAAGCTCGCTGAAATGTAATTAGTCAATACAGCTCAGAATACACATTTTCTACAAACTGAACCCAGAACGCTTCACATGCTGAAAATCCAGACCTCTGTTTACAGATTCTGAATCTGTAAATAGAGATTTGTTCCAGCCTAAGACTAAATAACCGTAATAGTAATGTACATATATGTTGTCCTTCAATATATAGTAGTGGCAGCGTAGCAGAAACAAATACATTATTACGAGAATCTGCTTTTTTTTACTCAAGAAAGGGTGCTAAATAGTTTACTTTAACGACTAAACACTGAAGCATTTTGTGTTTAAGACACTTAAAACAATAGATTTTTTTGTCTAGCTGACATGTTTGTGTCTTCTTTCCAACAGACTCTACAAGGGCGTTGCAGGCTACTGCAGTGCGTATCGTGGGGATGTCTGTCGTAATATCCTGCAAGACGATTTGCTGGTGTTTTTTAACTCCTCACTTTCGGACCCCGAGGACTTGCAGGAGTACCTGGTTCAGAGCTTGTGGACGGAGCTGGAGGGGCTCAGTATGCTGTGTAGCCCTGCAGTCCGTTCACTGCTCTGCCACTCCTCTTTCCCTGACTGCAACCCTTCAGGGTTAGGACCGGCCCCTAAACCTGTCTGCAGGTATGTGCCTTTCTTTTTTCTTCACTTTTTTTCTCTTTGTGAGTAAAGCATGTGACATAATAAAGAGGTAAATTAAAGGAGTTTTCTTGTTTTACCCTTTGTAACCTAGAGAGCACTGCCTGGCAGTGAAGGAGCTTTACTGCTATAAAGAGTGGTTACTATTGGACAGCAGCCGGTCACTGCAGCCTGCTCTCTTCAGCTCTGTCACTGGCTCCCAAACTTCACTGCTGCCCAACTGTCAGGCCTTACCAAGTCTTCACACGGACCCCGATGCCTGTACACATGTCCCTTTTGTAGGTAAGACAAGCCAGAATGAGACCGCTTCGTAGTGTCTGAAAACATTCTCAGAACATTTAAAGAGTTTCACATCCATTCTTGTGCCCTTAATAGCAATATGTCTGTCAAGATGTCATGGGGCTGAACTAAGGAGTTAGTTAAATGGTTCATATGCATAAGATTATATTATACTAAAATTGTGCACTGTTAAAACATTGTTATCTCTAAAAACCCTGATTGACACACTGAATCTAAGTTAAATTAACTAGATGTCAATCTTACATTTTTGATTTCAACTCCTTCATCTGTATCTGCTTTATCTTACTTTTTTGGCTCTTTACTGCAGAAACAGCTCAGCAGTCTAGCATAAAAGCAGAAAGGAAATAGAGCATTATGTAAAAAAAAGGAGCAGGAGCGTTGTGTGTTGACTTGTATTCTAAGTGCCAAATAAAACCTGACCTGCTGTACTTCAGGTCACTGATACTGATGAGGTCATTAAAAGGTTTGAAGTAGCAGAGCCAAAATAATCACAGCTTTGTACATTTGCTTCTGTTATTTTTTCTAAACTGTGCTTAACCGACCCCCAGTATAGCTTTAACACTTTCTCCATATGATACACTTTTTTATCCAAATTACTAAAAAGCTGTGCTTCCTTTTTTAAATTAAAGTTTTTATACCTGTTCCTTTTCAGACATCAAGAGGGATCAAATTACAAGTAAGTGGGACATTTTTTATTTTTTTTAAAGATTTTTTTTGGGGGCTTTTTCGTGCCTTTAATAGGACAGTGGATAGAGTCGGAAACTAGGGAGTGACATGCGGAGAGGGGCCACGGGCCTACCGTTCGAGATGAGAGTCTCAATACATGGGACGCGCGCCCTAACCACCACCAGCACGCCCCAAGTGGGACATTTTAACATGAACTTCATCATATCCTTTTATCAGAACTAATCCCACAGCGACATGAAGGTTTGCATAGTTTGTTCATAATATATGTTATTAATAACAAATTAATCAAATATCCAATCTGTTTCTTATGAACAGCAACATGTTACAATGACAGAGGACGTTTCTACCAAGGACTTGTGAATGTCACCAGGTCGGGGACACCATGTCAGTCATGGAGCCAGCAGGTAAAGTGGTGTGTGTGCTAGTGTCTTTTACTGTTTGTTTAATAATTGCAGTCTTTGCTGAGAGTGTTCTCCTGCAGTCAAATTAAACATATATTTTCATGTGTGTTTAACACTATGGTATCATAAAGACTTTACACTCACTATCATCACAAAATCAAAATGTAAAAAAGGTGTGAACTGGTAACAAGTGTTGATACGATTCATAGGCTTTGACTGCTGGTCATCATCAAAACTAATACTTGTTATTTTGTGGGTGAATGTTCAGTTTTACATCAGACATTCCTGAACTCAAGCAAAAGAACAGAAAAACATTCAAAAGTGCTTACAAGTGAAAAACAATCACACACAGACACACTCACACACATGCTCCGACTGACACACACTCCCTGTGGCCCTAAAGCCTCTTTATGTTTTTATAGCTTTGCTCAGTGAGGGTCTGTTAGGGTGAACTGTTACTACTCTCCTGTGCAGTGTGTGTGTGTGTGTGTGTGTGTGTGTGTGTGTGTGTGTGTGTGTGTGTGTGTGTGTGTGTGTGTGTGTGTGTGTGTGTGTGTGTGTGTGTGTGTGTGTGTGTGTGTGTGCTCGTGCCAGGTCAGCATAGAAGGAGGGGCTCATCATGTCACATCCTGCCTCTGGAAGCAATTAGCTTTCACACGCATATGCTGAACAGGCTCCATCACAGCCACACACACACACACACACAAACACACTCTCTAAAATGTTACACTCTCTCTCTCTCACACACACACACACACACACACACACACAGACATACATGTATGTGCCAATAACTGAACGTTTGCTCCGTAATGCGATTTACAAATATTTGCACGTTGTCCCTCCTTTCTCTTTTTCTCGAGGCACAATGTTGGCTCACACTTTCAATTCACTAAGAAATTGTATTTTCTTCCTCACGCTCTCCTCATACCATGTGCACCTTATATTTAAATAGTACAGTCTCTAGCATAGAAATATGTCATTTCATTCATCATTTCAATCACTACAGATTTCCTCTTTTTATTTTTTTATTTTTGGGCTTTTGTGCCTTTAATGCAGAGATAGGACAGTGAATAGAGTTGGAAATCAGGGAGAGAGAGCGGGGAATGACATGCGGAAAGAGGCCACGGGTGGAAGTGAACCCGGGCCTCCTGCTTGAGACGACAGCCTCAATACATGGGGCGTGCGCCCTAACCCTAACCACTGCGCCACCAGCGCGCCCCAGATTTCCCCTTTTTTCAACATCCTTCTCTGGCTGAATCTCTTCCAGTAGATAGTAGGTGCTCTTTGTTTGATTACAGGACAACACACATATTGTGGTAGATGTGTGTGCTTACTGTATATTCTGTATATAAAAAAACAAGCCCTAAACTATGAATGGCTGTTTGACTGGTCAGAGACAGGATTTAAAATCAACTCTTTAGGATGTGTAACAGGCTGGTGGTAGCTTTCCTTGTATTTCAATGTGACACGTCTCCTTTTGTTAAAACTTGAAGATTTAAAGTTTGCCTCTCTTTTTAAGAATATTCAATCATTGAGATACTTTAATAGAAGTATTTGAAGTATGATTAGTTCATATACAGTAGAAGGTTATATCTAAAAAAGCCAAGATTGTGAAAAGTTCCAAAGAAAATACCGGAGCGTAAAAATCACTTAAGACAAATTTAAGCAAAGGACTAACATTTAGACGCACTGCGTCTTCCTCAAAGTCAAAAACAAGGTCAAGGTTTAGACTCTGATGAAGACGCAGTGCATGGAAACCTTAGTCCTTTGCACCTTTATTAAATTTGTCTTACTTGATTCAGGTGCTCCAGTATTTTCTTTGGATCCTGAAGGTATCCACTGAATGATTTTGAACGTCTTCAGTCCTTCTCTGAGAGCACCGACCTCCAATTGTGGAGTTTCCTTCTACTTTATCATGAAAAGCTCCTCCACTCTGTTGTAAAGTCAGTGTTGGATGTGTTATGGTCATCTTTATAGGATACTTTTAACAGAATATTTTACACATCAAGCTTGGATGTTTTTGCAGGATTCTTACTTTCGAGCGAGTACATTAGATGCAATAAAAACCCAGCTAAACTGAAACTATCTGCATGAGATGTTTTTTATTGAAGTGGACAGAAGTTTAAAAAATATAAATAAGAAGAATAGCTTTGGTCTTACAATGTTTTGGAACCACTGGTCAAGGATATAAAGTTAGTTAGAAGATAAAAGACTTTGTAATGTGAGAATGCAGGATGAGCTACTTCCAGGAAAAAGATATCGATATAGCTGACCAAACATAAATGAAAAGGCAGGCTGTAACGCATAATCATCAAAAAATAATCCCATCCTGTTTTAGTTCCTGGCCGGCATCTAAGCCTTCATTTCCTTTTTAGTGAATGTAATAGGCCACTAGCTTGATTGGGATCATTTCCCAGAGGAAACTGTTGAAGCTGATTGCACCGTTTCACTGAGAAGGTTTAAATAATGAAACATTATTTATCTTTATTTTATTTCCAAAATGTTTGATAAAATTTTCACAAACCGTGGCTAGCCCATTATGCAAATGTCAATTAACTAATATCTTACTTAAAGTGCAATCAACACCTTCATTTATGTCAGAAGAGTTTTTATGATTATGTATTATTTATAGTTTGTGCAGATCTAATATTATGTGAATTACCATGTGGGCGAGTATGAAGCAAACTAATGCCACAGGATCCAAGATATTAAACTACAGTACAAAAAAGATAAGCATGAAGCACAAGATCATTCATGACTGCAAGACTGTGTCCTCTTTAAAGAACTGTGTCAGTTTGAGGTTAAAATGACCCAAGCCAGTTTGAGCTCTGCTCATAAGGCAAACCACATTTTGGCGGCTCCTGAAAGCCTCAGTCTAAATGCATTCAGCTTCTATGCATCATGGAGCAGATGTCTGTATCATAATGGAAATACAATATTCTCCACTTATGAGTCCTGCAGGGAATGAGCACAAACCTCTGCTGTTCCATGTGTCCAAGGTTACCCTCCATAGTAAAATCACATTTGTGTCCCGTACATACTAAACACACATGTTACATATTTTGCGCATAGTGGGGAGTGGGTCCTATTTTGTGCTGAGTCATGGAGACACTGCAGCCGAACTTTGATTCAATCCTTTGTATGGAGGCTGTTGAGAACATTTCAAATGAATTAAACACAAGTTAAACAATGCTTCATGCCATATAACAAATCTATAAAAACAGTAGATGAAGTGTCTCACAGTTATAACTTAATCTGAGAAGTAAGCAAACAAAGTGTTTTATTCTTTATCAATTCACTGTTGGGAATTATTTATCATCCAACCACTGCCCTTATGTCCCTCACTATAGAACATTTTACACCCTACGCTACAATTAAATTGTAACCTTACCACTGACCCTCGACGAAAACAAGATTTTGAAAGTATTTTTAAGCTTCTTAGCATTTCTCATAAGATTATGACTGACATTCCAAGGCAATCTGGACAGTCTCTATTGTCAAATCTACATGCAAAAACTCAAAATCACTTCTTAAAAATGAGAACGAATAGAGATTTAGTGACTATGCTTCAACGGTTCCTAAAGGGGCGTCTGTTCCCTTTTCATCTATTACTAATGTTTAACTGAAAACTTTGCCCACTTTTCATATGACTGTGTTTCACTTGGGATGTCATAGCTTTGTCTATGAAATGGTCAACAGAACTCTTGCCCCAGTTGGTTTTCTCCATATTCTTTCTCCTCTGAACTCTTCTTCTTTTGGTCGTGTAGGTTCCCCACCAGCACCGCCTATCTGTGGATGTGATCCCAGAATTGAAGAAATCAGACAACTACTGTAGAAACCCTGGAGGAATCAACAACAAGCCCTGGTGTTTCACCTCAAATCCCAACATACGCTGGGAGTACTGCGCTGTGCCCAAGTGTGGGGAGACAAGCATGGCACCAGGTATTACCTCATGCTGTCTTCAGCACCTTGTTGCTTTTTCACTGGTTCCTATTCCTGACATTTCTTTGTGGATACTGTACACTCGCATTATTATTTTTAAATATATCATGAGTCTTTTTTTTTAGCTTTTTGCAGCTGATCAGCTTTTGCCACTGTCAAATTCAAGTGCATGTGTAGCATAGTGCATAAATCAATGTGAAGGTCAGGGATAAAGTGATATGAATTAATCATTGTGATTAAAACAGCAAATTAGCTAATTGAAATGCTATATTGTTGTTTGACACCAACACTCTATAATAATAACAAGTGATTAAATAGATATTTGGCTCTTCTGAGATTTTATGGTGCTGACCAAACAAACAAAAGTCATATGAAAATAGGTCTTCAAGAGTTATTATTTTTGTTGCACATTCAAGCAAAAGCAACTTGTGTTTAAAAGTTGTCTTTGTCTGTCAGTGATGAAGTCGGAGTCACCAGGTACTCGCCAGACTTCGCGCCTCCCTCCCATGGCATCCTCCCCAGCCTACTCCATGTCTGTCATCGTCATCATCCTGACTTCACTCGCAGCTGCAGTCTTCCTCGCCATCGCCATCCTCGCCTGCCGTAGGCGGAGGAAGCAGTGGAGGAACAGGAAGAGGTGAGATTTAGTGACAAAGCACAGCTATGTACATTTTGTGCCTACCTTTTTATTCAACACTCTTGGGGCAGCTGTGGATCAGCGGTGGACCTGAAGGTCAGGGGTTCAATCCCCAGTTCCTGCGGCCACATTTAGATGTGGTTTTGTTTTTCTATAGCACTTTTCTAGTCAGAAGACTTGAAAAGTGCTATACAAGCTCAAGTCCATTTACTGTCTTTTTCCTTCTTTGCAGAGCAATGGAGACCCCAACCATGAGCGCTCTTCCATCAGAGCTCCTGCTGGATCGACTCCATCCCAATCCAATGTACCAGCGGGTTCCCCTCCTGCTAAACTCAAAGCTACTGGCCCTCGAGTATCCAAGGAATAATATCCAATATGTTAGAGACATTGGAGAGGGAGCCTTTGGACGAGTTTTTCAAGCAAGGTGAGAGGGAAGAAACAGGAAAAGGGGAGGAATGGGTGAATGTAAGTTACAGTATACTACGTCTGACTGTAAACTAAAAGAAGAGATAAAGATATAGAGTTAGCGGATGATTCTCAGGCAGAGAGAAAAGAAAGATGTCAGACAGGCTGCAGAGAGGGAGAGGGGTATAGAGTGGATCTTCAAGGCCACTGGTCATTCTAAGAACTGCTGCGTCATTCACAAAGTCACAAGGCGAGCTGCTAGAGGTATCACTTACACTCCACACTGAAGCTGTTCACAGCAAGAAATGAACACGCTAATCTAATCCCAAGGATTATATTTACACCTTGATCAGAAATTCCCATGCTGAAATATCCTAAATCTAAAAAAAATGTAAATAAACATCAAACTGTAAAAACAACATCAACACCCAAATCTCAGCAAATGTAATTCTTCAAGCACTGTCTGAAGGTTTTGTTATAGTCATTTCCGATACTTTTCACAGAGTGTTATAGTCACTGAAATCAATTACGGTAATACGTTTTCATGAAGAAGTTCAGTACGACTGAGGGGATACAGTTTATTTTAATCTCACAAGTTTTATAACCAAGTGAGATTAAGCTTGATCAGACTTCATCTCCTCCCAGACAAGTCTTAATATTTCTATTCAATACGCTTTATTTGCAATATGGTATAAAATGATCTGTGGATAATGTTAAACATAAACAGTCATACTTTGAAGACAATTATGTAGCAAAGTGTAAGAAATGTATCAAGAGTACAAATGTTTCAAAGGTTTTGTTTGCAGACCTAAAAGCTTTAATGGCTTTCTTTCAAAGTAGAAAATAAACTTTTGATCGATTCATAAATACATGATTTAGAGTTTAGGACAACAGCAGACACTATTTTTTTGTATCTCAGGCCGAATCTATAAATGACAACTGTGCTCTATATCCCTTTTGTTGCATAGAAACAATACACTGAACATTGACCTTCATTGTAAATTCAGCACCTTCGTATAGTCAAGCCGATCTGAGAGATGTCCTTCAGGGTGGCTGGTGATCCCTTAATAAAAACTGGAATGGTGCAGTATACAGAAACCCCTGATAATATATCAGACACAGAAGCACAACACATTTCTAAGCTGCTGAATTTATGAATTGACAGTCAAGATTTTCTGGCCATATCATGATTTTGAGTCTAACAATCAAACCAAGCAGTAAGAGAACACAAACACACATACTGTACACACTCCTGCATGCAATCATATTATTTTTTTCTTGCACAAAACCTTAACAGTGTAAATAATAAAACAATATGAATGCATCTGTACGTATAGACATGAACTCAGATACACACATAAACACAAATGAAGAGCGACCTAAATAGACTCCAGAAGTAAATGTTTTCTTCCCTGAAAAATGGACATCAACCTTGAGCGTGTGTGTGTGTGTGTGTGTGTGTGTGTGTGTGTGTGTGTGTGTGTGTGTGTGTGTGTGTGTGTGTGTGTGTGTGTGTGTGTGTGTGTGTGTGTGTGTGTGAGAGCTAAATATAAATCTACACTGAGAAAAACATGTTGACATTAGTTTGCCCCTCTGTGGAGACACATTAATTGTGTGTTAATTTGTATTGATTGTATGTTTCCCCCCGATATCTGACATTCACATTACACATAACTTACCCTGTTCCTTTTTATTTTTTTATGGCTTGGCTGCTTATAAGGTAATTCAAACGGCACATTCAATAAATATGGTTCATAAATCTAGTAAATGCATTAGAAATAAAATCTCCCAGATAATTTCATAGTTTTTATCCACAAGCAGTTTGAGTTCTGACACTTCCAGTCCTTAAAATATCTCCCCCTTTCTAGAGGACTCTGTTGCTTGAAAATATGTGTGCATGTCCGTTTGTTACAGAGCACCTGGCCTGCTGCCAATGGAGTCTTTCACCATGGTGGCTGTGAAGATGCTGAAGGAAGAAGCCTCCGCTGACATGCAGAATGACTTCCAGAGAGAGGCAGCACTAATGGCTGAATTTGACCATCCAAACATCGTACGACTCTTAGGTCAGTCAGAGTGTGTGTGTGTGTGTGTGTGTGTGTGTGTGTGTGTGTGTGTGAGAGAGAGAGAGAGTGAGAGAGAGAGAGAGAGAAAAAGAGAGTGATAGAAAAAAAAGAGTGAGAGAGAAAGGAGAGAGAGAAAAGGCAGCAAGAAGGCCAGATTCCCAGGGAGGCTGCAGGATAACAGCTGGGTTTTACATTGTATTACTAACTCGATCAGTATTTTCTTGGGAGATAAGGTAAGTGCAAAAACAGATACAGAATCACAGAAAGAGAAACAAGATCTGCCTGTTGACTGTTGAGTTGCATTGTGGGAAATGGTTTATGTTTTCTGCTCAAATTGCAAAAAAAGATCAAAAATATATTTTTGCAATTTTACCAGTAAGTATGGAAAAAAATCCCCAAAGTGCAAATTGTACTTAACTAGAATATTTGACTGAAAAATCTTGTTAACCTCATCATGATCAAGGTGTTTGGTTTACCAAGGCATATATAAGTACTTTCGCTGAATAAATAGAAACATAGTCAGCCTGGTATTTACAGAGAGAAGTTCAGGTAACTAGAGTTTTGGGAAAGTTTTTGAATTTTTACAGCTCAAAGATTACATTTTGCCTGAAATCTCAATCAGGAGGCGAAAAAAACCTGACAGTTTAACATTTTTATACGTCATTCATTTCCTGTAGCCTAATTAAACTATAATTTTGTGAGAAATTCTGTTTATTTGATGGATTGCCCCTTGAGATGAACCATCTCGTTTTCGAGGGGGTCCAACACAAAAACAAATAATCTGTAGGTGTCACGTGTAATGCTGCTTATCACATAAAATAACCACTCATTCATTTTCTCCTTCTACATGCTACTTCTTCATCAGAAGAAATGTACTAACTTTCAGTAGTTTGTCTTTCTTTTGTTTTTGTTTTCTCACTGTTGTCTATTTAGAGAGTAGTGCACTTCAAGGGTAACCATGGTAACTGTAGTGCACATGTCCTTTGTTATGACAGAAACTATTGCATAAGCCTTAGTTTAAACTGCAGAACAAGCAGAAAACGAAAGAGGCGTAATGCAAACGCCTCTTTTAAACCGTTATGTTAAAGAAATATTTTAGAGGACAGACTAACTTTAGTTTAAAGCTTTCAGCAGTTTATCCAGCAGAATACAGACACTTCCATCAACATGCTCCTATTCCCTTTTATGAAGCCTTTTTCTCAAGACATTTGTCATTGTGATTCTATAAACTCTTTGGAGATACAGATAAGTCTGTTTGGCAGTAAACAAATGCTGCTTGACAACAGAAATGCCTTTGTTGGCCCAAGTGACACGAATGTCCTCCATTAATGTTTATCTGGGCTAATAGCTCCATATCTTACCTAATACAAACAGATTGCATGCCAATATACAGTACATCCAGGAAGACATTTAAACACAGTCTGTGAGTGAGTAAACACAGCCACTGCTCATCCACTGTGCTGAAAAACAACAACTCTGTTTGCTTTGGTCCATGTTAAGGCTCCAGTGGTTGTGAAATGTTTGTAAGATCACCTCAGGCAGACAAAGAATGAGACCCGTGTTCAACTACACTGTTTTCTATCTTTTGTTCAGCTTTTTGAAATAACTCATGTAGAGTACAGTGACACATTAAAACACAGAGGTCTCTGGAGGCATGAAACCAGAGGTTGATTAGATTATTTAGTTAACCTCTAAACAACCTCTAGACTAATAATACACTGTAAATCATGTGTAGAAATACATATATAATCCATGATATGCATGTGTCTAACTTTAAATGAGAGGTGCCATATGTCTCCATGTCATTATTCTACAGCATATGTATATGTGTGTGAGTGCATGATGGGGGCCATGTGTTATGTATATTTAGCGATGGGCTGAACCATTTTGATCCAGCTACTGACCCCCGGGTAAGGCTGCTACTGTTGAACTACAGTTCTACTAGAGGAGACCCAACCCCCACTTCCCACTTACACCCTCACCCAGCAGCAGTAATCAGAGCTTTTCCTCTGGTGACCCACGAGACATGAACTCACTGAGCATGACCTCCAAGCCTCATCACAGTGAAAATGTGAGATTTGTTTAGATTAGAGAACATTAGAATAGACTTTGCAACTTTATGTTTTGTTGAGGCTTTTTATTAAGATTCTAATTAACTTTAATATGGCACCCTGATTTCTTAGAAACCTTTGTAGGATCTTATGTCTGCATGTACCAAATATGCTATGTATCATTTTGTTGGAGGTTTTATCGTGTGCACACAAAAAATGTAAAACTATGTCCCCCTGTTTAAAATGGTAGCAGATTTCATTCTGAACTACTACTACTACTACTACTGACATCTTCCAGATGTGTCATGCATTATTTAATACACTTTTTGACTAAAATTCTGCCAGACATATTTGTTTTTGGGACACTGGGTTTGTGTTCTGTGTCTTTAAAAGAGGTTGCAGTGACTGGGTTACATGCAGGTCAGTAAAGTTCCCATTCATGTTTTATACACAAACAGAAGCAGTGACATGAACTAAATCAAAACCTGTGATTTGTAGCCAATATGACTCAGTGCACAGCAGTACATACTGACCACAAGTGCGCTCATCGTGGGCTGAATTTAGAAGCACAGACACAATTTTCTTAGGCTCAAACTAAAACTGGCTGCAAAAAGAGAAACTGAAACCACTGTTTGATGCATTGGTATTTTTCCAACTGTTGGCAGACTTGGTAATTTATTGTTGTATTTTCCACAGGGAAATGAAGTACTCAATAACTGGAGTCAGTGTGAATGCCAGTTTTCATGAATGGCCCCTCTAAAACTTAGTCAGGGCAGTTATTCAAAGAATGTGCTACCATTTCTCTATGCCGCACAAATTGCAAAATATATTTAAAGGAATGTACAAATACACAAGCAATTTTGATGGATAGAGAATTTAATAGAGGCATATTATTATAAGAGAGAGTAAAAACAATTGTAATTAAATTTGACGGCGTAGTCCTCTGCACATGCTAGATGAATCTCTGATGAACTATTAAATTATTGAACTATTAAATCAGAATGAATTGTTTTACATGATACAAAACACTGCTAGTCAATCTAAGTATTTTTTTTGAGCCTCTGAGCTGTCTTAGAAAATGTTTCTTTTGGACATTGTTCAAGGAAACACAATCTGAAATGTAGGAGAATCATTTTTGACTCTTACGTCTATCCACCAGCGGCGGCTGTGGCTCAGTGAGTCGGTCATCTCTCAATCACATTGTTGGGGGTTCGATCCCCAGCTCTTGTAGCTACATGTCTGATGTCTCATTGGGTAAGACACTTAATCAAGTTGCTAGAAAAGCATGATACAAGTTCAAGTCCATTTACCGTAAAAAAAAAGACCATGCTGTGTAGAATCTCTTTCAGATTCACAAGTAGTGCAGTCACAACCATACCTCTTAAAGCTTTATAAATGCTCTTTAATTTCCAGTATTTCCCCTCACTGACAGGTTTAGAAGAACACGAGGTCACTTAACACACACACACTATGTATACACACTAATATAAGACTGTGAATCCACTGTGCGTGAGAGTTTATTTGTGAGTACACTTCACAGATAGTTTAGTCTGGTTTTATGTTTAGTCAGAATATTTATTTACATTTTCCAGTGAATGCACTCATTGAACGATACAGCAGTAGAAAAAAAAACGTAATTCAGCACAGTTTAATGATGTCACAGATATGTTTTTTCTTCTTCTCTTAAACCTCTTGGCTGGGAAAATGGCCCACTCACAAGCCTTCTGTCTCCTCTCTATGTGAAATATCAATTGTGAATTAAAATGGTGTGTATGGTTTCTTCCACAGGCGTTTGTGCAGTGGGTAAACCCATGTGTCTGATGTTTGAATACATGGCTCACGGTGACCTCAATGAGTTCCTGCGCCGCAGATCTCCAACGCAATCCGTGCGCACCCTCAGTCGTGCCAGCCTGTCGGGTCGTAGTTTCTCCCTGGAGCTGGAGGCAGTGTCTCTCTCCTGTGCAGAGCAGTTGTCCATTTCGAAGCAGATCGCTGCAGGAATGGCCTACCTATCAGAGCGCAAGTTTGTCCATCGTGACCTCGCGACTAGGAATTGCCTGGTTGGCGAGGACATGGAGGTGAAGATCGCAGACTTTGGCCTCTCCAGGAACATCTACTCAGCAGATTACTACAAAGCCAACGAGAACGACGCCATCCCTATTCGCTGGATGCCCCCAGAGTCTATTTTCTACAACCGCTACACAACTGAATCAGACGTGTGGGCATATGGGGTGGTGTTGTGGGAGATTATCTCCCATGGCATGCAGCCATACTACGGAATGGGCCATGAGGAGGTGATTTATTATGTGCGTGATGGCCACATCCTCTCCTGTCCTGAGAATTGTCCTATGGAACTGTACAACCTGATGAGGCTCTGTTGGAGCACACACCCTTCAGACAGGCCCAGCTTCAGTAGTATACATCGGATACTGGAACGTATGCATCAAAACACATTAAGTGTCAATTCTGAAACTGAGGCTGACTGCTAAAGTGGGAACTCTTTTGAGAAAATTCCATGTGCAAAAACACATTGTCATTTGTGGTCTTTGGTGCCTTAAAGAGGACATATGATCCCCCTTTTCTACCGTTTCAAACAGTCTCCTGTCGTCTAAATGAAACATCTGTGCTGTGCTTTGGTCAAAATATAACATGAATCAAGCACCAGAGGAGGTTATGACCCTGTATAAACCAGCTCTCTCAGAACACTCCGTTTTGGTGTGTGTGTGTCTCTTTAAATGCAATGACCCTCCCTGAGATTTCCTCTGTAGAGAAAATAAAAATGGTGGACCTGCGCAAAAGTTTTGTTCTAGGTTGGGGGTGGAGTCCATGGGTGGAGATACCAGGGGAGGGGAGAGGATTTCTTCTTTTTTTTTTACCAGAATCCCACTGTGACATCACAAGGAGAGCTAATTTGAAACAGAGCATTTTTCTCTGTGTTGTAAGACTTATACAGACCACAAACAAAGGACTGGATGGGTTTATTTCACATTTTGTGGGTCAGTAGACACTAAGGTTACCCAAATATATGTTCAGAAACACTGTAACAGTGGATTTTTCATAATATGTCCCTTTTTATATCAATCTTGACATCTTTTCTTGCTTATCTTTTTCTATTCAGAAGATTTTCTTACCACAAATGCCTTTATTATGTAAATTACAAGACAACTACATCATCAGTTGAAGAATTGTTTTTGTAGGTTTTGATTGATGACATTTGAATGCATGATAAATAGACTTAAACTCTGACCACTGATTTCAGAGTCGGAACCTTTGGATATGTTAAAGCCTTAAAAATAATAATTAATCATTAAGGTGTATTTAAACATTTTGATACATTTATCACACGTGGGATTATTGGATTTTCCTTTTTGTCTTCTTCAATCTGAGCTATCAAGCAGTTACTAATAACCTATGAAAGAGAATGGTACTCTTTTTATTTTTCATAGCAATCACATTGCTAAATGTTAACAGTCACCTCTGTGGCACGTTATCACTTTAAAGCATTGCTGTTGATTGTTTTTTAATGACAAGTCGCTATTCCATTTTCTGGGCATTCTTGTTTGACTTTCCGTTTCTTTATCACTGAGTTGTTGATCGCTGATGTTTTCTTTTTTCCTATTTGTCAGTGTTTGACACATGTAGTTTGATATAAATAAATCCATTTTGGATTACAGTATATTGTGCCAAATCATACAAAAGTTATCTCAGGACACAAATCAAGAGAGCAGGTCTAGACTGTACTTTTTGAAACAATATTTAGAGAGCTTCAACATTAATTCATCATTAATAAGCACTTGGCAAAAATACAGTTTCAAGAAAAACCTTATTTTAAACAGGCAGAAACCTCAAGCAGCACCCGACTGATTGGTCAACAGCTATCCGTCATGTCTGGATTACTACATACATTACAGCAGTATTGATGTATTTAAGAGCTGGCCAATCAGAAGACAGTGGGCATGTGGGTAGGGGAGCCTAAAAGAGACACTATCTGAAATGAACTATTTCAAGCAGAGGCTGAAATGAGGGATTTTACTGACGACAGTTTAAGATAAATAAAGAGGTTTTTGAGCTTCACATCTCAGAATGCTTCTCAACACTACAAACAGACAATAAATGGGGAAAAGTACATTAAGTACGTACTTAATGTAAAAAATAGTCATCATTCTTCAAGCTATTGATATTTTTCATCTCTGTACAAACATTTTGACTGAATAAGATCGAAAGGGACATGTTTTAATCAGAGCAATGTTACAAGCATCTCCTGTCTCATCAGTTTTTTCATGTGGATTACTCTAGTGGAATCACAAGTTTATTTGTTGGATGTATTTAAAGCTCCTGTGAGGATATTTTTTGATGGTTAGCAAATCGACTCAAATGAATACTGATGCCTCTTCTTCAACCTCTGCCAGGGGGAAGCATCAGAAGAGGTGAAGAAGAGCAGCCTTTTCTCAGTGATTCTCAGTGAGCGTTCAAAGAGAGCAGGATAACTACTTCACATGTAAACGCAGCATAGAGATTAGAGGTACTGCTTTGATCACAATGGGCCACATAATCGACACAAACCCAAAGTTTCTCACAGCAGCTTTAATAAAGAGATTAGAATTAAATAAGATACATTATTTAACCATGTCAAAAGGTTTTACTCCTTTTTTTAAAATGGTGTGATGTTGACCTTTTGTTATTTGTTACGCAACATAATGCTGGCTTTGTCCCTCTTATTTGTGTATAAATATGATATTTCTTTGTATGCCTTTCAAATAAACATAATAATTGCTGGCAAACACAGTTTGTATGTATACGACTTGTACATTCAAATGTCCTTTATTTGGAGTTTCTTTAATCCCTTGTGCTTGCATAACATGTCTTAAATCCAGGAAAAGTTGTATCAAGGAATAATGTTTGGAACCATTTCATCAAATGCCTTGTTGAATACAAAAAGCAGAAAACTAGTAAAGAAGAGACAAAATCCTTCAGAAACCCTTCCTGAGCGACTCTCCCTCCGCAGGCCCTGCTTACATCGTGTAAACTTTGGTCGTGTGATGTTCAGGACAAGTGATTTTCTGCACCTTTAAAGAAACAAATGGGAGTCAGTGGCCTCACGCAGGCTGCTCTGTAGTGTGGCTTTATGGTAAGAGTGTGGAACAGCTGTAAAAAAAAAAAAAAACTATAACATCCTCAGACATACCCGCAGCAAATGACACATGCCCTACAGCTTCCCCAGTATTATTTAAAGGGCAGCTTTTTCAACAAACAATGGGACTGAAGCATGAGCAAAGACAGTCAAGAGTCCTGAACTACTTTCTTTTAGTCATTCTAATAAGACAATATGATGGGTTTTACATCTGCAGAGTCATAAATGTGCACAATAAGTTATACATTTCTTTTGGTCTGACCCTAAACCTTACTCTGCTTTGAAGGCCGCTTTCAATCTGTTTGTTGAATCATGAGCCTCCTCTGACACATGGCCCACAACATCCCCTACTCCACCCACAGAAACAAAAGTACAGAAGTACGTTCCCATGTGGATGCTGCAGTCTTATTACTCTCCACCAGAGGGATCAGAGAGGTTCACTTAAATAGATAACTGATTTCTCATGCAGGGTTATATGCACAGTATATTTCTCTATGTATTAGAGAAAATATTTTTTGCAGACATCTTCTTTGTGTTGCTTTTGATAAGTTTGTTAATGTGTCTGTGTTTGTGTCTAACTGCATGTGTGTGAGGATGTCTACTTGTCTGTTTGTGTTTTTTGAGGATGTCCAGTATAAACTGTTTAAAGTAGGCAGCCAAGAGTTTGGCCTGCACTGGTCATCTCTCCTCCTCTTCAACCAAACTGTGGATCAGACTGTCCCACTCCCACTTCCTCTGTGCTCCTCCCTCTCCTCAAACCTGCTATTGTTGACTGTCTGGAGTACATTTATACCTTTTCCTTTGCATACTTCATTTTCTTCCTTTTCCTTGTTCAATTCTTAAGTCGTTGTGTGGTGGAGTAACTAAGGTATAGTCATTGGTACTCAATTTGAGGTACTTTTACTTTTCTTTGCCTTCTCCATTGCATTTCAGAGGGACATACAGACATTTACAGGACATTTGCTAGGTTTACCTAGGTTTAATATCAAAACATTTACATGGAATTTGCATTTTAACATTTTAGAATACCAAATGTTGTTTTCAACACTTTCTGGGTGAAATTTCTGCCAAGAAAATGTCCTTACTGTTGCTCAGGTAACAACTCAGATTCTCTTTGTTAGCTGTTCAAATACACATTTCCCATCCAAAATGTCCTAATGTCCAACCACTGTAAGCAGCCTAAAGAGGTCAAATTATTTCATAATGCACAAAAAGCAAAATTAAGTTAAAAGTCCCTGTAAGTACTTCAGATCTCTGAAACTAGATGCATGTTCTTGTGAAAAAAAATTTGGAGGATGGAGGCCTGTGATGTGATGCGAGTCATTTTGATTGCACCTTCCTTCGTCCTTTCTTTGCTCCATCTCCATCACCACTGTTTCCTGTCTTATCTGTAGCCGCTGTCAGGTCTCTCTCCCTCTCTTAAAGCACTTTTTCTTTTAAATGTTTTGGTTGAAATTTAACACAAAGCCTGCTGCGGATGCTGGGAAGTGACACTCACTCAGTGAATTAGGCGATTGTCCCATTTGCAGACAAAGGATTTATCTGAACTCTCTAACCTTCCTGCCAGCTTGCATTCGTGGCTTTTTAATGTTTTGGACACCAGAGATTTATACTTTGATGAAAACCACTTCCTGTGCTGTCATGATAATCTCTCTTCTGTTCTGAACACCTTGGCAGCAGAGAAATGTCATGTTTCTGAAGAAGCAGGTTGTGTTTGTGTGTGAAACGTTCAAATCTTCTGAAGTTCAGCAATTCCTGGATATCTTGGCATGAAGGCAGCTTGTAATGTTTTGTTGACTTTTCCATATGTTATTATAACTTTAGTTGGCAACAGTAATGCTGATTCAGTCCATTTACAGTATACGAGCTATATTCTGCCTCGCATGAAGTAGGATATTTGGACTGAGGAGACATATTAATCACTTGGATTTTCAGCAGTCAAACACGCTGGGAATCAAGGAAAGTGTCTTTATCACCATTGTGACGATGATGTGACATCCCCCTCACTCAGCAACAGCACACAGGAACTTCCTGTGTGGCCGAACAGGCTCTGATTGGCCCATTCAGGGAGCAACAGGAAGTATGGAGACATATATCAGTCAACTGGAGGCTACTGATCCAAAGCTGTGGAACAATAAACACACACACACACACACACAATCACACACACACACACACACACAATCACACACACACACACACACACACACACACACACACACACACACACACACACACACACACACACACACACACACACAGCACTCACACACAGAAAACATTCTTTCCTATGAAAACATCAGGCCATCAGACAACATTTTACAGTAGCATTAAACATACACACATACATCACTTGTAAAGTATGCCACTTTTTTCTTTTTTTTGCAGGGTCTGCCATCCACCAACAGTCTTTTGATCATTTGTACATGAAAAATAAGCAGTTCTGCTTTACTGTAAGCTGTTATGGTTTGAGGTTGAAAATCATCTTCATATGCTAAGTAAAAAACAGCATCTTAAGACCTTATTAGGTCTACTGTAGAAATCCTGCATGTCATAAGGCAAACATTATCAGCCAATGTGTGACCCTGTATAAGTTTGTGGAAATCAGAAACCAAAACACTGGCAGAAAACAGCACCACTAGGCTAAACATGTAAGATAACGGTAAGTTAAAAAGTCAAATCTTACACAAAAAAAAGACACAAAACAAAAATTCAGACTGTTCTCTTTTTTTATTGTTGCATGGATATCAACACTTTGAATTTTGATGAACATTTATTTATATTGGCCCTTACAGACAAGATACTCACATTTATGTTTGTGTCACAATCACTTCTTACAAACAACAACTTGTATAGAATTTTCATTTTCTATCTCAAGCTTGGAAAATATTTCAAAAACATTTGAAAGCTTTGTTTCGCTTTGGAAGAAAAAATATCAGACCGGGATGTTTGGAAGATCAGTCATTGACCCTTCTTGTGTAAACATCGTGAATCATTATGAAGTGTTAACATGTTTGGAGGCTGTGTTGAGTATCTTTATATTAAAACTAAAAGTCATGCTGTTGAAGAACCGTTTAATACTGTAATATATTGCTCTTACAGTGTGTCCTAACAGAACACAAGCATCAGACATCGTATGCTGTCCATTAGATATTTACTTCTCTGCTCTGTGAATTTCAGATTGTTAAAAGTATCAGAGTCAGTGCGTTTATTATGAGTGTGGAGAAACTGAAATGTATTGCTTTGTATTGCCGGGCCTTTAACAGTGATGAGCCAAAAAAAAGTGATGCCTACAAGTCATCTACTACCATCTCACCAAGTGGGTGAGGAAAGTGAAAGAAAACACACCCAGCCTCTTGTCGAGCTCCCTCGTGCCTCATTCTTTATCCATTTGTACATGTGCGACAGAAAGAAAAATAGAAACAGGGCATTGGGGTAAAAACTGATACATTGCTTGTGGGCTGTTAGGACACTCCAGTAGGAAAGGACAAAATCGTGCTCATGTTGCATGCTGTTAGGACACACTGTGACACTGTGAACATTTTTATGTTCTATTTGAAGGAAAATGCAAAACGACGGTGTTAGCAACACACACACTTTGAGCAACTGAAAAACCACCTGAAAATCTTGCTTTAGCTGACCTCTAGTGGTTAAACTTCTCACCTAGCTGCAGTGATGTTACGGTGTAATCCAGAGTCCCCTGACATCGGCAGTGACATCACTGTTGGGAATGGTTACCAATTTAACAAGGCACACCCATCAGTGTTGCTGAGGTGAAAGAGGCTCGGGATTACTCGACCAAAGAGGGCCAAAAAAAAAACCTTTGTTCAGCCTGGTGTAAAGTTGCTCCTTTAGGAAGAGCACTGCAAGGCACTGCACACATGGATAACTAGTTCTGGGTCACAAACATGTAAATAACTGTTATAGTGTCCAGAGGAAGTTTGTTAATTAGGGTCAAAATAAAAAAAAAGAGCTCATGACATGGAAAACATCAACAACATCCTACAGTACATTGCGACAGAGTATAACAGTTAAATTTACAAACACTTTCCCTTTGGTGATTAACTTTGAATAATATATTTTATATACATACATACTGTACACACATACTCACAATGTTGTAGTGACAAACTGGTAAACAAAGACACTTAAAGACAGATAGTTAGGTTGGTTTGCTGTAATACCTGAATGAGTATTTTGTTAGAAAAACACTCACAGTGAATATCTAAATATGGAGGGTTGAGTCCATAGCAAAGGTTGGGCAATATTAGTTGCACTGCTTGTGTCAGTATTCTTGTGAGGCCTCTTGTGAAACATTAACATCAGTGACAGATGGACAAACTCCAAAGGCAAAACTGCATCTTTGGAATATTGAGTTTTCTCAATTTGCTTCCTTGATATAGTTTAAAGGCACATCCAGGAGAATATAGGCCAAAAACATTGGAGAATCACTCCTCACTCTAAAGAGCTCTGGTAGAATAAATACACATACACTGTAATCGTTTACTCAATAAAGGTACCAATGTTGCCTCATTAATAGGTCAGACGTTTGTTAATTTCAACATGTAATAAATACCAGCTGATTTCACGTCTTACTGCAGCTTTCTGACAAACATCCTGATACTTGGAATGTTTTTTTTTGGCTGTGATTCCCTCTTTTCTGTCAGCTGTTGGAAACTTTGTCAAGGTTTTTCGGCCCAAAAGTGTTTTGATTCACATTTGGACGTTCCGCTGGCAATTTTTTTATTTCAACAACGCACGTCATTGCATCAGCATGCTGACCGTCAGCTGGAAATGTAGAGTGTAAGTCGCAGCAATTAGTAAGAGCACTTGTTTAACCCTGCATTGGTTTATCTATCGCACTTCTCGGATTGTTAATTCCGGAGAACATCATGGAGGCTACTAGACTATTACTGTTCAAATAATAAAGTGTAAAATGTCATTGTTGTCAGTACACCTTTATATGAAGGTTAAAAAGCAAAAACGCTTTAAGATGTGGTATGGCAAATATTCCATTCATTTTTAAATTGTCATTAAAAATGTTTATGCCTGCAATCATATTTTTCACAGGACAAATATAGAGTCCAAATCGTAATCCATGCCAACCTAATACACCTGAAATGATGTTGGAATGTCCTTCTAAATAAGACATTTGGAGTTGAGTATCTAAACCGTAACTGTGAGACATTCAACTTAACTTTATATTAAGGGGAATCCAACTTTGCAGCTTCTAATTTAAAAAAGACAGCACAAGTTGTTAATAGAAAGACTCTACCTAAAAATTTCAAGTCCAAAGAAGACTGCCTACTCACCTGGACATGCCTGAGATTTCATGACATTTTGTCCATTGAAGTGTCAACTTCCTCAATAAATGAGACAAACTTCTCTGCTCTGGAGTATTGTACACATGCAACAGTGCAAATAAGAAACAGGCTCCATTAGTCATCAATGGAGAAACACATTGAATGGTAATAATTTGTGTCCATCCTTATATGCAACATTTGCAAGTATGAATTCACATAAACTTTATCATAACCTTATCCATCCAGTATGGCAACACAATAAAACACGTTATATTTTAGATGGATAGCTCTACTTCATATCACCAATAACACTGACAAAGCAATACATGTGTACTTGTCGTTCAGCTTCTAGTTAACAGGGAATATGCCATGAAGGAGTTAACAATTTGGAGATTTATTTTCACAATTATGTATGAGAGACCAAGCTGATAAGGAGCTCATGGGCTGAGTGGGATATAGTAAGAAGGGCAAAAGAGCAACAGATTGTGGACTAAGTATTGCAGGGATTGGTAGCTTTTGATCCGATGGAAATTTGTAAAAAGTCAAAGGAATGCAATGGAATTAGTAGATTTGGCCGTAAAATCTAAGCCATGTTTTTGTGTTGCTGAACTCTGACATGATTTTGCATCACTGATCAGTTGCAAATTGCATAATTACCGACAACATTGTCAGCGCTGCTCTTTGGATGATGGTCTTTTAGTTAATTTACTGTTTATAACTGTTGGATAAACTGCACTGAAATTTGGTAGAGCCATTCAGCCCCCCCCCCCCAGAATGAAGAGTATTGTGGTGATCTCCGCTGACTGCAACCATCAGGTTGTAGATTTTTCCTGTGTCTCATGACCAGCTACAAAAAACAACATTTTAAACATTTATACCAACCTCAGCTTCACTTTTTGTTTAGTGCTATTCTGCAAGCTTAAGTTAGTTTAATTAATATACTGTAGTAATTGTCACCTTTAAATCTCAAGGTCTTCAAAGCTCATGCTACTGTTAAGTTCAAAGCACTGCATTGCCTTAGTGCAGCTGCTTGTTTGGCTGAAGACTCCTACTCTTGTAAGGTAGCTTTATTACAAAATGGACTTGTTGGAAGTATCATTCTAGTTCATTCACTTGATCTTCCCACTATAGGTCTGGTCATAATTTAACATCCCCACATCAATGTCTTCAGTTCCGGAAAGCTGGTTGCCCTAATTATAGTTAGCTGCTGTATAATTGTGGTTGGTAAACTACAAATCCTGGCAGACATTCATTAAAATCAATTGTTTCTTCATTTCATGGCCAAATGCTGCATTATATCTCCTCTCATGATGTTATGATCACACTTTTTGACATAACTTACTGACGTCCAGCTTCAGATAGTCTACTGGTGCTATCAGAGAGCAGCAACACCTCTTTCCCCTCAGACAGTCTCATAAACACAGACTTTATCCACCAGAAGTGGACAGCTCAGCACATTTCATGATCTGAGCTCTGTTATTGCGTCCCACATATGACCTTCATCTTGTCTCCACATAACACCGAGGCACAGAGTCTGTTCTGAAACTGCAAACATTATCCTCCCTTCTTCGGTAAGATCCCTGGAACGACCTGTCTCCAATTCCTACCAGAGAATAAACAGGATTCCTGCTGATCTTGGACCCTTCATATCTTTAAGTTGAATGGAGGGAACGCATTTGGGATGCATTCATGAACGCTTTTAGTCAGTTAATAGGATACGTTTAAGTTAGAGTTATTAAAAGATGAATGAAGCTACTGCAGAAATAAATAGTGGCTCTGGTTACTCAAACATAACAGGTACAACTGTGATGCATTATGCTTTGGAAATCTCTAAACATGCCCAACATGTCAGTATTGGTAGAAAGTCTTAGATTTTCTTTACTTGCGTTCTTTTAACCCTGGAATAAGATCAGAGCAAGAATAAGAACAACCTTTAGAGTCCACAAGGTTATTTGATTAGTAAAAACAAAATGGTATCGTTCCTTTTAAGTTACAGGCAGGTGTTGGTCTGATTTTCCACAGATTTAAGATCTTTCCACAGAACACATGAACAAAAAGAAAGTACAATGCTCTTAACCTGGGTCAAATCGAGGCAAAAGGTTGAGACTAATGCAAACGATTCCTGAAATGGGTGTTATGTGAACACTTATGGAAGTGTTGTCCGCAGAACAAATACTCATGATGTCATAGGAAACTGGTTATCTAAGTGTCCAAAACCCTTAACAAAAGGACGCAAAGTTGAAGAAGGCTGGGGAAAAAGAGGATGTGTTATACTGGCATTACCTTCACTTCACAGATTACTTTAAATAGTTCATAAACATCAAAGTTTCAAACACATGGAAAAGAATAACAACAACTGAACAAAAATACTAACAGCCTAATGGTGTCCTCAAAGATCACACTCATCTTCTGCTCTTCCCCAATCACGATAAAGTCTTGTCAGCTTTCATTAAAGAAGCCATCTTCTCCTTCATTGTGATGTCATCCCGTTTAACATCAACTCTACTCCACATACTTCATCTTCATTCTTGAATTTAACCCCTTACTGTCCACAGTTCATATCATGTTAGCAGTCCTTCTTGACCTTCCCATGCTGCCATAAACCGTCTTACAGTCGCTATCTCCATAAGAGATTAACCCTTTATGCTGTTAATCTCTGTGGTTTCAGAACCACCTTTATACCACCGAGTGTTCGTTGTTATGGTGGTGATGGTGGTGAGTTCCACCGCTCAGCACTGTGTGGTTGACGGATGACGCCGACCGGTCAGATCCCTCCACCACCGTCCCATTGGTGTTCTCCTGCCGCTGACAGCACAGGATCTGCCTGAAGGTGGCGCTCATCTCCTTGTCTCGGTAGGAGTAGATGATGGGGTTCATGGCCGAGTTGAACTCAGCGAGAAGCAGGAAGAACTTCTCGTAGGTGAGGACGTTGCAGTTGGCACAGAAGACGTCGAGCAGGAGGATGACCAGGCCAGGGGTCCAGCAGATGATGAAGGCACCTGAGAAGACATAAAACAGAGAGGTTAACATTTAAAGTTGATCTGCTGGACCCCTGGCCTGGTCTATCTAGTTAACTATCACTCAGCAGTGTCACCAATTGGTATGTTGTGGTTGGTTTATCCTTAAATGAGTTGGGAGAAATCCTTGCTGGTCTTGTCCCGGCAACAGAAGCCAGGCTCTCGAGTAGACGGAGCTCCCCCAACCTTCAGTGAGGTAATCTGTCCAGTATCTACCATCTGTGCCATCCTAATACCAAAACCTGACACCCAACCACCATCATTGGACTTTGTCGTCCCCTCTACCATCGCAGTGCTCGTTCATGCACGGCCTGCTCCGACCTCCACCTTAGTGGCAAGGAAGTGTGGACAACAGGAATGCGAGGAATATAAAGGAGAAATCCTTCCTGCATATTATCCCATGTGCTCTTTTGTAAAGCTCTCGAGAAATCACTTGTTATGAATTGGCGCTAAACAAATAATGACTGATTGATTGATTAACAAAAGCAATGTCCAGTGAAATAGGACTACTGGTCCTATTATGGCCAACTATGGTATGAGGCTGACTCAATTTAATTTGTCCTAGTTTACTTGTTTTAAACCAAATAAGTATTCACCAATTTTTTAAAGCTGTCTGGATATCTGCAGTTTATTATGAGATACTTTGGGTTTGTTTTGCTGACTCACACTTAAAAAACAGTGATTCATTTGTACTTGAACTTGAATATCACATCATGTGGCACATAATAAACATCCACCTTCACTTTTGTGAAGCAAATATTCTGCCAATTAGACCCCCTGTTTAACTCTGGCAAATATCTTCACATGTTTCCTCTTTCTGTGAACCAAACAAAAGAAAAATAAATACAAACAAATATTTGTTTATTTGTTACTTTCAGACAAAAAAAGTCTGATTGGATTATGTAAAGACAAGCAAGGCAGCCTGAGTTTGTTGTTGTTGGTCGGTCTTTGGAGACACAAAGCACTTCACAACCACATCATTCATAAACACACCCGCATCAGTGCAGGAGAAAAGAGCCAATGACCACGTCTTAAATATTTTAATGACACATTCAGACAACAACATACTGTTGTAGGACATTGTTTTTAAATACTTTGTGGGTGAATTAGGTTTTGGAGCAACAGAATAAATAAATAGCACTTACAAGCTATCATTCAAAGTGATAGATAAACATAAATTAGTGAAATGGAAGAAGTGATTAAATGATTTTAAATAAATATTATTAATCCATTACCTTGAATCTGTCTGAACTAAAATAAATAAATATATATATATCTTGCGTATGCTTTCCCCACAAAGTATGATCTTGTTAACACAATAGTAGCCATTTTTTGATTCTTTTATGAGATCGAAGATTAATTAGGAACTGAGTGAATGGCAAAAATGATTAATGGGAAACTGTCTAAACTTCTAGTGCTAAGAACATATGAGTTCTCAAAAAGGCTGGTGAAAGTGTGATAATTTTAATTACATTATTCTATTTATCATTTCATTCTCTTAATTATGTAATGTGAGGGGAAAAAAGAAGGGATACAAAACTGTATAGTGTTTCATTACTTGACTAATAACATATATAGTGACCGTGTGTCACTTTTAAGTTTCCATAAACTGGGGCGACCGGTGCAAAGGTCAAGAATTAAAAAAGCCTAATGTTGTGGAAAACAATCAGTCTGAAACACTAATCCATGAAGACAGAATAAAACTGTTTCTAAGAAAACAACTGTTTTCTTAGAAATTAAAAAACTCTTCCAAACAACATATGCCTCAGTTTTTTGTCTTGTAACAAAAATGCCACACCAGTGTTTCTGATCAGGGAGTGCTTCCCCTATGTTAATATGAAACATATTTTTGAAACTATACCTTTAGTATTCCATCATCATATCTTGAACCTTCTCACCTCATTTGTATTAGTATGATGCATCATCCTTTTTCTGACTGGATGAATAGTATCAGCTCACAAGAGGGAGGTCACTGACTCATTACTCATGAATGCCAGGATCAAGTGTGTTGTTAATTCAGTCAACAGATGATTTCAGTCATGACTATAAGAGAGCTGTAGGACCTTACACTCTTGAGACTGTAACACAAAAAGTGTTCATGAGAAATTGGGCAACCAGAGAGAGAGAGAGAGAGAGACAGAGAGACAGAGAGAGACAACAGTACTGACAGGCAGGCCTGTTATCTGTTAGTGTTGTGCAGGCAGCAGCTGCACTGAAGGCTTGACCTCACTTCCTAGCTATGCAGGCGGACTCTCCCGAGCTAGATACATTTCTTAAACGGTTCGAAGCCCAGCAGAGAAACTATCCGAACTATTTCTCTCTCAGTGAAATATCTTACTCCGGACAGGAACTTAAAAACATTCAAAAATGCAGCCAGAAAACATTATGATCGTGTTATGTGACTGTGTTTCCTGTCTTTCACAACGCTGTCTCATTTTGTGTTGAATGAAAACACAATGAAGTCATGAAGTTGTCCTTAACCACAGCTTGCAAAACTACAACTATAAAACACACAACTCCCCTTTACATTGCTCTGGATTGTTTCTTTTTTTGAACCTTCACATAATCTGCTACCTCTTTAACATTAACCATGCTTTTCTCATGAGTGGAGTGTAAAGTATGTCCATTTACAGGATGTTAGTCCTGATTTTCCCTCAACATGAGGAAGAAAACACTCTTTGTGTGAAGCTATGCTCTGAAAAGGTTTACCCTTTGAATCTTTCATTTCCTCTCTGAAGTCAGGGCTACATGGTTGCTTGCTGTACAACCTTCATCTCAAAATTGCCCCTTTACATTACAAAAAAAAAAATCCTCTCCATTTACTGTGTCCACATGGAGCAGATTTAGTGCCACTCCAGGTTCACAGAGGGTGAAGCAATATTTGAGATGAGGTTCAGAAACAAATAGCCTTTTGTTGTTGGACTTAGAGAATCCTTTTGCCTTGTCACTACTTAAAAATGCATGGAGTGAACATGGAGGGAAAATAGACCAGGGAAATGGAAAGTCAGTGCAGAAAAGTAAATAAATACAGCTCTGATGGAGGCCTGGAAAATCTGGAAACTACTTTGACACTTTCCAGGTCTTGATAGAGTCAGGAAATACACAGGAGTAAGAGATGTGTGTAATTTTGCCATACTGGTAGCAGCAGTGTTCCTGATTACACATTTTGACATTTGAAGGACCATCTTCAGCTAAACAGACCTTTGACCTTGTTGAAAACATATCAATACTGGATTGTCTTTTAGCCAATTAGAACACTCGTAATGCAGGTAACAACAAATAATTTGGGATGTATGAGGAAATGACTGCCAAAGGGAGAGGTTAACAACAATACTTGGCATTAAAATCTTTATTAAGACCTCTGGGAGAAATCAAGAGAAGCTGTGTGCAGTGTCGAAACACATTTTCTATTCCCAAAATGTGTGGATCCAGTTTGCATGGAGGTCGATGAACAAGTGAAAAAAATGAAATAAAAAACAAAACGTATGGTAAGTCATAAATATGTGATGGTAAGTCATAATGAAGAAAAAGTAGGATACTATTCGGATGTTATATGAAATAAATTTGACATATAATATCATCATTTCGTTTCAAATCTTGTTTGTCCATATCCTGATTTTTAACTTTGACAGTTCAAATCTTGACAGCCTTTTTGACCTTCTTTGAGCACTTTTATTTCACTTATTTCTCCAACCTTCAATCTCTTTTTTTCTTCCCCTGGCGGAAATGGGCTTCCATATGAGAGAGAACAGAGGGCTATGAGAACAAAAATAAGGAAATAATGGGGACCAGACTATACGGCAATGAACTCTACGCTCACACAAACACACAGATGCGGGTAGACACAGATAAACACTCACATCTGCAGACACCATCACACGCAAATGCTCACTTATATAATTATACAGGCCAAAGACAGATGGAGGAGCACTTAAACACAATGTGAAAAACATTGTGGAGAAAGCACAAAGCAAAACTGCCGATTCTATCCCAGCATGCTTTGACTTAAGAATCAACAGTGTAACAACAGAGGTTTTACTTTTTCACTATGTACATCATCATTAGTGAATAATGAGTAATGCTTAGGAAGTCTTTAGTCTTTAGCTGTCTCTGAACAAACAATCCTGAACACATCCTGGATCTGACTCAATGTTAGTAGGAAAGGCTTTGCGCTAATGGCAGACGTGTCGTATTACTTTCAGAGAGAGGACATTGTTTTTCATTATCCTGACACACACTCTGTAACAACTTGTTCTATTGCACTCGGCCACATGTAGTGCACTACAGAATTACTTAAATATGAGGTCGTAATGGCTTAAAGAATCTGTTGTTGGTTCTTTAAAAGGTTTTTCTATTCAAATGTAATAACATATTTTTCATTTCCTTCTTTTCATGATGCAATCCAGTCCACATGTTGGCAGAGATTTCAGAAAAGCTCAAGAAAAGAGTCAAACTTTATTCTTCCCACCAAATTAGTTGCATCTCCTTTTCTTGGTAATTTAAAAGAACTTCTGGCTTCTGATATTTGTGAATGATGCACACGTTTTTGGTTAAGATATGAGACTGATTATGTCTTTGGCAGTTTTTGTGTTGGTGGGGTTGTTTTACACATACAATCTTGTCTACACACATGTACTCTACATGTTGTATTTCTAATAAAAGAAAGAAAATAACATTGTGTTGTCAAAAAGGGGATAAAAAGGAAATGATGGCCAGATCAAAATACAAAAAAGGTTGTTTCTGATACTTTAAAACAAACAAACAAAAAGTGGTGATTTTACTCTACACATATCAAACTGAAACAATCCACACAAGAAAACAACTACATCAGTGTATTTAGCAAATGACCCAGAGCAACATATAAACATAGTTCCAAAGCTGTACTGTGATGGGAGGTAGGTAAGAAAAAAAGGAGACAGTCAAGTTGATTTAATGGTTCAGATAATTACTCTGATGCTTTGGCAAAAATATAAAACAAAGTT